GGGGGGGGGGGGGGGGGGGGGGGGGTGTCGATCTGTCTGGACGTATTTTACGTATTTTACGTGTTTACGTATTTTACCATCCGAACTACTTCCCTGGTTGCCTTTTTCACTTCTGTTGTTCTTCCCCTTTTTCTCCGATTCATGCAACTATTTTATATTCAAACGTTCCAACAGCTTCCTGAAGGATTCTATAGCCCCTTAACCCCTGGTGCCAAGTCATTTCCCTTAACCGCGTCTGAGAGAGATAGCCGCCCTGAGCATCCCGGATCTATGTTGTATCTCCGCCTCGCTTTTTTTTCTATGCAGGATTCACCAAAATCTCATCGAGATCTGCAGGAGATTGAAGTAATATATATATTATTTGAAACAGCTAATCCCTCATATATTTGATAGCCTCATCTAACGATTGTAAAAGTTCAAATCTATCTCGTCATTGCCCAACAGCCTCTCCATTGTCTCCTAATACTATCTAGGTGTGAGCTGCGCCGTTTTATGATTAGGGAAAGCCTTTAGGCCAAGGAGTAGCCTCGCTTGCTCTTGCAGCGCTAGGGCATTGAATGTTCCGTCACCGCTCTTTGGCTACTGCCACCGAATTTAAAGCACACCGGTTCTTTTGACCAAGCTTTAGGGACCATGGCGTTTTTATTTTGGCCAAAGAGCCTTTGTCTTGCTCTCAGTTCACCTGCCTAGGCCCTGGGATGACCCCGGGGGATCATGGGCGATTTCGCTTTCGTTTTCGCTTTGACTACAAAGGGAACATTACCGGTTTTCCTTTTTGGTTCACCCTAGAACGAGGCAATTTTTAGTCAAATCGCTGGCCTTCCAAGGGTTGATTGGCGTTCAGGGGGGCACTACATTTTGGGTGCACATCACTGTTAGCTGCCTTGGTATTGAATCACCAGTGGAGGCGGTTCCTTGAACGTCCGGTGACAGAATCATGCAACAGAGTTGCAAATGGGCCGATTTACGGTTGCCAACGGGATATTCACGAGTCTTGGACCACATGGCCTCGTTGAATTATCAAAACGCGCAGGTGATGACTTGACCTTGATGGGATTCAAGCTATGACCAGGAGTTATACTCCGTACTGCTACCTAACATTGCCTATCTATCTCCATCTATACCTGATTCCAGATACAGTCATACATAGTTCTAAACTTAGAAACGGTAGTACTCATATCCAACGTGCACTAGTTAATATGTGGTGGGCCTACCACGAATGTGGACAACCTGGGCCAACATATAGGTTACAATTGAAATACCCAACGTCAGCCACCTTGTCGTTCAAAATATCACATAAACCCACACTTTGAATCCTTCGAAACTAAAATAAGTGGCTTGGCAGGATGACGTTAATCTGCTCCCTGCCTGTCAGAAATCTTAGGCAGGGCTGCCTGAGCCTATCACCTAAGCGCCCGTAATAATTAGAGCGGGTTTTAAGGGGCCCAGTGTAAAAACCCAACAGTACTGCATATAATTTAGTTGGTTTCAGGTCTATGGAATATCCAATAAGATACATATATTCCAATATATCAAAACAACAAAACAACAAACCAACTTGCTGTCCAACCCTGTGCCTTCCAATGCAACCTGGGTCGCAATTACAGCAAGGCAGCTTACGCGCTCCACTCAACTCCGAACAAAGGGATCTAGCCCTTTAGCTCTACCTCCTTTCTCGGGAACCAACTTAAAATGTAGCCGCTGTAAGGGAGTGATGAGGTGATATTGCAAGCCACACGGAAGCAAGCAGGCGGGAAAAACCCAAGTGGGCTACTTCCCATCACCCGGGCAAAAAAGTCAGTCGGTCCACCCCTAGATTAGAGATTCCCTAGAAGTACGGAGTACTCCGCACAGAAAATGCAATCTGTGATGTATGTACCTTATTGGAATTGGATTTTCGATATCTAAAAGGTTAGCTTAATTAGCTTGCATGGAACATGCGTCGAGCTCTGGCGCATGCTGAAGCGGGGAAAATGGGCTGCAGATTTTCACCCGGGTAAAATCCTACGTGGGTGAAAAAATTCTAGGTGATTCTAGAGCTCAGGGATCTAGGATCTTCTTACTCCGTACTCCGTAGACTGCATCGAAAAGGGTGTGTGCTCGGCTAAACAGTATCCTGCGATTGGCGAGCTTTATCGTGCATCTGGATGGGGTTTACTTGGTCAGGCAATGAATGATTCATATGATCTCGGCTCTCCGCCTTGTTTGCCTTCATATGATCGTGGAGGTTGCTTTGTCTCGAGAATGGTGGATGTGACCTTTGGAGTATGAGGCAAATTCATGTAACGACAGGATTTATTGGGACTAGGCTCTCTCTAAGCTCTCATGCCCGGGGGCTTACACTATACCAACTCCAGCCAGCTGTAGCTGGTTAGCTTTTCTTAAATTTGAGTAATTCAAGATGGGTCCCATATTAACACGTGTCTGATTTTGAGATTGAGGGACTACCTAGGAACATAAATAGTCGGTGTTATGGCCCTATCAGTGGATTCACTCCAGGCAACTACGTACGGAGCAGTTGTAGACACCATTGACCGCCATTCACATGTATTTGCTGCTGTGCTGAAATACTTTTTCAACCACTTGCAGGTTTCTCTTTAGAACAGCCCAATGGAGCTCGTGTGACATACATGCTATCACCCCTCATGTGAGCCCGAGATTATCTGTGCACATGAAGAATATGGAAACTCACGGAAAGAAAATGTAAAGGATTTACGGAGTAGTTGATGGCTATTGTCTAAGTTTTTATGGAGGGATGACTCCATTTGCAATCGAGATAGATCATAAATATTTGTGCGTTGCGTAGGAACTCGTCTGTCAGGCTCATCAACATTGAGATGCAGCTGCACCTGCAATCTCTTGAACTTTAATTTGATGACCAATCTATTATACTGACCAATGAAGTCGTTCGTGGGGTAGTTAATCATTTCTTAAAGGGCTAAAAGTCCGATGTGACATTGGTAGGAATATGTATCTACTTAAGTTCAAGTGATGTTGACTAGCCGTAGATTTGGGATGAATCTACTCCGTATGATATAGAAGAATGAGATATGCCTAGTAGCAGTTTAGGTATATTCTGATAGGGTTGACCTGAGCCTCACTTGCTGAAACTAGTAGACGAAACTATGTGCTAGTTGCTATGTCTAGTACAAGGTGGAACTATATATTCCGGAACTAACTGGTCCAAAATTGTGAACGGGCTCTATAATGAATTTATAACATATTTGAAACAGCAGTTTCAGAAGAGCCGAGTTTATTATTCAAAAGGGGTGCTTTAGCTTTATGTCTTGAAAATTCATTGAATGTGTCCAGGTATGAAAAGGGGGATCAAGACTAGACGACGTCATCGAAACAACTTTTGAAAACAACGAACATCCACATGTACGCGCTGTGTCCAAACCATCACAAACTAGTCTCGCTTTGTAAAACATCTCAATTGAGGGCTTGGAATCTCATCCAACCCGAACTAATGAACTCCATCCGCCTTGCCGCGCGACACCTAAAATCAACACAGCCCATCCCCACACGCAGACCAACGCTCAGCATCACGAAAGCCAAAGCAAAAACAACCAAAATGTCAACATTCACAATCCCAAACTCAAACCTCAACGTGAATAGTATTCCAGGCCTAAGCCAGGATGATTTACTCTCATTTCCAGCCTTCAAAGTCTGGATAACAACCCTCCAGCAATCCCTCGCGCGACAAGAACACCCCTCACACGAGTTCCACAGTGACCCATATGTACTGCGGAAAATCGATATCCAAGCCGTCGACCGCTTCGGTGGCGGGCGACTAGGCTTCATCAAATTGAAAGCGGAGGTGTCGAATGGCCAGGGCGAGACTTTGCCCGGTAGTGTGTTCCTACGGGGTGGCAGTGTCGGAATGTTGGTAAGCTGTCCTCCCGTTTCTACTCGATAGGAAGGGGTTTCCCTTTGCGCTCTNAAAAAAAAAAAAAAAAAAAAGCAATATTACGCCCCAGCCCCCAGCACCTAAAAACATAAACGTATATCTGTTCTTTTCTAATCCTATGAATAGCTCATCCTCCAACCGGATGATATACCGTCCCCGACTGAAAATGACAAGCGTGCTATTTTGACCATCCAGCCACGCATCCCAGCGGGCTCGCTTTCGTTCCTAGAGATCCCGGCTGGCATGCTCGATGATAGCGGGACGTTTGCTGGCGGGGCGGCGAAGGAGATTCAAGAGGAGACTGGGTTGCGGGTTGAGCAGGGGGATTTGATTGATATGACAGCGCTGGCGCTGCAGGCTGCGCAAGAATCTGGTTACGGTGAGCGCCTACAGAGTGCTGTTTACCCGTCTCCTGGTGGGAGTGATGAGTTCATTCCGTTGTTTTTGTGTCAGAAATCTATGCCAAAAAAGGAGATCGAGGAGTTGCAGGGGAAGTTGACAGGATTGCGGGAGCATGGGGAGAAGATTACGCTTAAGATTGTTCCTTTGGCGGATCTGTGGAAGGAGGGGCTTAGGGATGGGAAGACTTTGGCTGCTTGGGCTTTGTACCAGGGGTTGAAGCAGGAGGGGTTGCTTTGAATGGGAATAGCGTGTACGTGTAAAACAGGATATGGTGAGGTGCTTGTCTATAAATTTGTGTGCAATAGAGGTTTGTTTGTATCAATGTATCGCTGTGCTACAGGCCCGTGAGATACGGTACAATACTAGCTCACAATCTCCATTTCTTCGCCAGTTCAATCCCCTCAGCCAGTGTTCCAATCCTGGCATCAATGGCATAACCCTCTTTTTCAAGCTTCTTCATCTCGTCGAACAACGAGTTCAAAGGAACAGTAAAGCATTCAATGAACTCGTTATCTTCAAGCTCAGGCTTGGGGTTCTTGTTCTCGGGAAGAGACATATCGACCCTGACGTGGACCATATGCAGGTTGGTATTGCAAAGTCCTGGGTCTGATGGAGTCATAGATGTTCGTCAGCTTTCAGCACCCGAAAAGGTCAAATAACGCAGCCCGAAGGGAGGAAAGCTAGCAGTAACTGCTCACATACCGTTATACATCAGTGGGCTAGTCTGCTCCGCCACGCCAACGTAACCAGTTTCCTCCTTTAGTTCTCGAACAGCACATTGCTCAGGTGTCTCACCCGCATCGATTAATCCCGCGGGCACCTCAATAACAACTGCATCAATTGGGGGCCGATATTGCTTCTGCAGAAGCAACTCCGAACCAGTATCCTTCTTCAGAATAGCGACGATCCCAACACCATCGAGATCGATACCGGGAGGACGAGTCTGGGAAAACGCGGTTAGCATCAAATCCGAAATGTAAATTTCAAAAACAGCTGCTCTCAAAAGTTGTTTGAATTGGGTGGTCATAAAGATCGACCAATGCGTCCAATACACATTACATTGTAAGGCAACCAATGGTCATGTGGTTTCGGTTGATACAGCATCGGGCAACGCCCGGGTTTAAGCCACCTGGAGCACAGGTTCCCGAGATCGGGGAGCCCCACCAATGCTAACCACCATCTCCCGATTTGAATGAGGCTGGTTCTTAGGCTATTATGTAGGTGGCTTTTGTGGCAGTCCCGCGGGCGTGTCACTCGGATACCTGCACCGGGTGTGATGCATATACCCTGGACATCGACCAACAATGCGCATAACACGAATAAGCACAGAAAAAGGCGGAATAGATCTTACCGTGCGTTCAGCTGATTCCCATGTTCGCTCAACACCCAGGGGGTCGGTGTATGTTGTCTTGACCATTCGAGCCCAGCGGGCTTCGCTGGGGTCCTGTTTGGTAAAACGCGTTAGTGATGCACCGGCGCCGATTTGGTGGTATCATCCCAACCCTATTTTATACATAGTAGACTGGGAGTCTACTGCTGGAGAGATACTCGGGGATATTGTAATTAACATACCAATGGTCCCCGCGAGATGAGTTTCGACTTGGCCTGTGTGCGAGCTGACATTGTAATGAGTTGGCAGTGATTTAGATGGAAATAATGGGAACAAGCTGAATAGATTCAATGGCGTATGACTTATTTGGCCAATGGAGTACTAGACTGATGTTGCTATATCGGCAACCAATCCTAACGAGGGCAAATGGGGATCTTGGGGAGGGGTGATGGCGGGGTTAGCGGGGTTGGCCCTTATCTTATCGGTCTCATGTTGATGTTTTCCTGGAAGTGTGTTGCTCCGAAGATGAAAAGGAATGCTACACTCTACGGATTATAATATAAACAAGAGAACCAAATCATAACAAGGTATTGTTAAAGGTATCATTGCGCATCGAAACCTGTCTATGCAAAGACGGAAGATACTGAATAGTAATGCACCAGGCAAAGAAGAAAGTAGCAATGACCGGACACAGTCCGGTCTCAAGCAGGACTTCTCACTGTCGTGTCAAAAGAAATAGAAATATCTTCTGATAACAGCAAGTGTCAAGAGAAATCAAGAGTCCACGATACACGGAGTAGCGTAAAACCATAAAATAATAGAGGAAAAAACCCCGTAACGACTATACGCTCGCTATCATAAAATCGTGGGCGTACAAGCGTCATTAGCCAGAGGTCGTTCAAAGGCTCGACTGAATATCGACAGAGACGTCGTTCTCGATATCCTTCAGACGATCCTCAAATTCAGACCAATTGTACATGACGGTCTTTGCGCCAAGGTCAGTCAGGGCCTTAGCCATCTCCTTCTGTGTCTCTTCGCCATTGTAGCTTCCAACATAGGCGATTACAGCAATACCGGCACGAACCGCCGAAAGAGCGCCAGACTTGCTGTCCTCGATGGCAACGGTCTCGGAAGCAGTCTTGCCGACCTGCTCGAGAGCATACAGATAGATCGCGGGGTCGGGCTTGGAGGTAGGCTTTGGCAGAGAGCTGGCAGCGCTGAAGACCTTGTCCTCGTCAAAGTACTTGTCCTGACCAACCTTCCTGATGGAAGCGAGCACGCGGCGCAAAGCGGAAGAGGAGACAACTGCAAGACCATACTTCTTCGACGCGTAAACCTTCTCCAGCTCCTCGCTGGCACCGATACAGGGTTTAGCCTTGGCTTCCAACTTGGCAATGACCTTGTCCTCTTCCTTCGTGACGTATCCTTCCAGCTTCTCCGCATCGATCTCGAAGTCGTACTTCTTCTGAAGGGATACCATCATGCCGCGGAAGTTCTGGCCGACAAAGTCCTTGATGAGCTGATCGCCGGTGTAACGATCGGGGAGGTTGTTGGCCTCCAAAATCTCATTGGCCAAGTCGGCGCAAGCCTCGAAGGCCAACTCCTCCGAGAGGACCAGAGTGTTGTCGCAATCGAAGAAGATTTCCGTAATCTGTAGTTCCGGTTAGCGTCGGTGGCTCTCTCGTGGGAGATACCGCGATTCTCGTACCTTAGTCATGATGAAGGTACGGAGAGTAGATCCGGGGTGTTTGTTTATTGAGATGGTGGGGAATGCGGGTAGAAGAGCAATGTATAAAGATTATCTAGTATGATCTAGGAGAGTGGATGCAGGTCAAAATGAAGAAAAGAGGAATGCCTGAAAGCAAGGAAATAGGCGACTGGAGTATTTAAGCCAAGGCAAGAGCCAAAAGAAATGACGCCGCGATCACAATCTCCAAGGGGAAACCGGGCCAGAGCGGGAGGGGCTCACTGACGTGGGGCTAAAAGTATCTGATACTTGGAATTGGCTTTGTTCGATGGTGTAAAAGCAGGTATCCTGTACTTCAAACCTGGGGAGACGGCCAGACATTCAGCCAATCAAATAAGCACAGACCTATACCAAGCTAGTCTGTTTCCAGTTTAGCGTCTGTTTTCTACGGGCAGGTGCGATGGTTTCACCTCCCTCGCCAGTTTCTCGCAGTTTCTCGCATTTTCTCACCGGTCTATTCCCTTCAATGCTTTTCGAGTGATTTGAAACTTGCCTTGGATATCACAATCCCGTGAAATTATGTCCATGAGTACTCTGCTCAAGTGACTTTTAATATGCAAGTAACCTTCTCACCTGATGTTTAGAGTGCACAGGATTCTAGACTGCAAATGGTGACTTTGATTGGACATTGCTGGATACGACCACGGAGTATACATCAGCCTACTAGGCCCAAACTCATGCACGGTCATGTCCCCGTCTTCTCACTGTCTTCCTGTCCTCCGAGGGGAGACCGAACTCCAATTCGCACAAAAAAAGCCGGGGTACGGAATGATTGAGAATCATACACAAGCATGCAGGCCCGAACCTCCGCCCGTTGGCCCATCTTCCCGTGTCATCTTAAATAACTGGTGCGGTCAGATAATATCGAGTAGCGGAGTATGCACTTGGACGTTCAGAGCATGCTTGGCGGGGACTAAGAGAGCAACCCGACGTTTAACATTACCTCGGTACAGAGTGCATATGGTACTATTCTAGTTCCGGTGAGCGATGAGCCATTTGAATGCTTTATACCTCATTCTATTATCGCCATGGTCAATAGGTTAGTCTATCATCTCAGTGCCAGGGGGAGTTAGTTCTGCCCAACTTTGGAACATACCTTAGACTATTATTCTCGGAGCACGACAGTCCGGAGGCTAGCGTTGTAGACGTTCTATAATTTTATCCAGTAATCATTTCATCCCAATATCTAGACAGATTTACACCACCAGGAACCATGTAGCACGACTCGGTATAGTATACATCGCACGAACCTGGGTCCACCTTTTCCATACAACCGCCATGATTGGCCAGACTCAAATCCCAACCCTGCTAATTCCACAACGGCTTTCCTTCACATTCGACCCGACCAAAAAAGAAAAACCGCAACATAACGCCTCATCAAATCAAAATCAATCTAACCAGCACGACTCAACGGATCTCGGGCCAAATCGCCATTTTGCATAGCCCGTAAACCCGAAACAGCTCCTAGTACAACCCCGAAGTACGACCTGATACCAATATTTGAATTCGAAATATACTTGGTAATACTAGCTTTAGCCAGAAAGCAAGCATGGGGTCCTCCGATACTTTCCCGACCCTAGAGTCCCTTCATTTCCCGTCAGCACAGCTGTCAATTTCCCAGACGCTTTCGTCTCTGCGTCGATCGGCGCTGTCCGTCGCCAATCGGCTCCAGTCTATTGAGACTGATGCAACATTTGCGCAAGAGGTCGCTGACCACTATGGCCTACCGCTGGTTGCTAATGAGCGCTGCGGAAGCTGGTATATCCCGCCTACAACCAAGGCTGGCAGTGCTTATTTCAAAAGCACCGATGGCCACACCGGTCAGTGGGATTTTAGCTTTCGTAGGCTGAACTTGCAGTTACTCCCTCTAGCTCGGGAGCATGGGGGGTTAGTCTGAACCCTTTTTACTATCTCCTTTTGCTTGCGGCTGTACATCTGTGTTGGAGTGCCTTTGGTTGACCTTCATTGACCCAAGTATAAGCCATGGCAACAACTCCATCACTACGTGATGACCCCAAGAGCGCATAAAAAGAACGCAAAAAGCTGACTATATTTTCTTTGATGCTGCAGTTGTGTAATTGTGGACTCAACTCGGCGAGGAAAATGTATGTATCACTACCTGCATCATCCCCCACTAGAGAATCATCTCGCTCCCCTTACCTAAATAGTCGATATGCATATCATGACTACGGCTAAGCCTCGAGCGCTCTATTAACCCTCCCCTAGTGATGCCAGACGCATTATCAAAAACTGTCCCAATCTGGAGCGCCGTCCTAAACAGAGCCCTGTTCCCATCCGCAACTGCATACCATCCAGTCAGCCTTCCACCCGATTACCTCGGCGCATCGGAAGAAGCACAGATCGAGAATCGAATCGAAGGATTCGTGCATTCCCTAAAGGTACACAAGCGTAACATTAACGTGACATGTGCAAAGTATTGCACCGCGTCCCCTCCCCATCCTCCCAAACGTGGCTGACACTTGATACTACCAGAGCCTGAAACTCGATCTGGACAATCTGCGCGAGCAACTCGGCAAACCCATCCAGATCGCCTGGGCCAACAGGACATATTTCCATCCATCGGATCTGCACACGGGTGATGACTACAATCTACTCGTATTATGCTCCGCCTCGAGGCGCGTGCATGGCGCTGAAATGTCTGAGGGCGGATACATCCAAGGCGCGGGCGATGATAGCGAGGCGTGGGCGTATGGGCTGACGCCGCCGGTTTTCTGGGCCAATCAGGCCATTTTGAAGAGTACACCCGAAGACGAATTGCCGGGGCTTATTGACCGGCTGGTGGCTGAGCATAAGCTGCTAGATGTGGCTCAGGACGCAACGCTCATTTCCCCCACCCGCAATTTGTACATTGGCTCGGGGGCGGGGGTTGATGCTGGAGGTCGGTATTATCTTGTTATTGATTGCAATGGGAGTGCTTCGGCTGTGGAGGGCAATGCGAAGCGGCTTAATTTAGGTTGCGATTCTGGGAAACTGGGAAGTCGAGATCTACGGAAATGCCTGGATAAGGTGCGTGAGTTTATCGGCGCTCGTCTTGGGGCGGATTCGTCGCTGTCGGTGCTGGTTACCTGTGAGAATGGGAAGGATCTTTCGGCAGGGACGCTTCTGGCGATCGTCTGTATGTTTTATAATGATGAAGGTATGTATGCAATGCCCCAGATTGTCTGGGTGATGGATTCAAACGCTATGTGAAAGAGGAAAAATAACTAATTGTTTCTCACAGGCGGCTTCGATGCCTCACTGAGCAAGCGTGCGATCAGCAAGCAGTTCATTCGACAGCGTCTAGCCTGGCTCGTGTCGTCGAAACATGACGTGAACCCGTCTCGCGCCACGCTTCAATCTGTCAATGCTTTCCTGATGCAGCCGCCGGATTATTGACCTCGAGCAATGTGACTACATTGCATCGCTTGGTCGGGCGTGATTGGGTTCGAAGCGCCAGGGTCATTAAAAGCCTGCTCCAGAGATCGCTCATTCGTTGTCCACGGCCTCCACGATAGCGCCGGCGCTGCCCTGGTCGAAGGAATCCAACAAGGCCATATCCTCCACGCTGAGGTCGAAGTCGAACACATCCGCATTGGCCACGATTCGTTCGGGGGTGTCGGTCTTGGGTAGAGGCACCCAGCCCTTCTGCAGCGCATAGCGGATCAAGACCTGCTGAGTGGACTTGGCGTATCTCTTTGCGATTTCCACTAGTGCTGGGTCGTTGGCTTTATAGTTTCGCACGATGGGCGAATATGCCTCGACGATAATGCCGTTCTTCTGGCAGTATTCGTCAATGACGCGCTGTTGGCACCACGGGTGGAGCTGCAAAAATAGAATGTCAGTGATCACGACCAAACCAAACAGCTATCTATGTAGATAGAAGAGTAGTGATAGAAGCAAAAGCACCAACCTCAATTTGATTAACATGAGGCGGGAACACTTGCGCATATGCGCGCATCTCCTCGATGTGCCCCACGCCGAAGTTGCTAACACCAATACTCTTCGTCTTCCCCTCCGCGTAGAGCTTCTCAAGCGCCTGCCACAGAAGCTTTCGCCCAGCAGAGCCTGAGCTGGAGGAGTGGATCAAGAACAAATCAACATATCCATCTGCGCCGCCGATCTTGTGCACGGAAGCCAGCAATTTATCGTAGGTAGCCTCGACCGAGGCTGCGGGACTGAGGATCTTGGTCGTGATGAAGATCTGATCTCTGGGAATGCTGGTGGCGCGCAGTGCCTCACCGACTTCCGCCTCGTTGGCATAGAACTGTGCTGTATCGATGTGTCGGTAGCCTGCGTCCAATGCCTTCAGGCAGGACTGCACGCACTGGTTGGTGGGGGAGCGGTAGACGCCGAAGCCGAGGCGCGGGATGCGGGCACTCGAATTCTGGAGGGGGAGAAGATCGGTGATCTTAAAAGAGGCGGACATGTTGGAGTGATTGAGAGGATATTGTTGTTTGCGAAAGGAAAAGACGTCGACTTGGAGTTCTGTGTCTTTCGAGAGAATAATCTCCTGGCCCCGCTTTGCGAAAATGAGGTCATTTTGGATGACTAAACTTAAACACCACCCCGGGGCCGCGGCTTTGCGGCCTCACGCTTTCTACAAAAGCATCTATGCGCAATCAGTCCAATTGTCTTTTCTTTTTGGGAAATATTTCTAATCTGCCTGTCTACTGTCAAAAGCTTACCTTTGTGAAACTTGTGTCTGTGTTGTACCTTAGCCACCAAAACATTGCGTGATACCATTTGATTCGGCTTACAATTGTTTTTTGTAATGCTACATATGTATCTATTGCGCCATCAAGAAACATTGCCCATAAGGCGATTTATTAGTACTATATCTGCAACTCCCTGTTTTTCTTCCATTTTATTTATGTCCTACGCGTATAGTTCGGAAGACGCAACCTCATACTAGAGATGAACTATAACCCCCCCCCCTCGCTCCCCTTGCTCCCCAAAAAATACCCCCACCTACGCATATCCAAAACTAAAATCATCAATACCCATCTAAATTCTCAACCTATTCTATACTTTTCCTACGGGGATGGAATAATGAAGGATGGTGGAGCTCTGATGACTACATATTTTAAACAATAGTTGTCCATACAACCTCCGAGAGGTTCAAAACCAAGCGTACACACCACCAGGATTAAACTTCAAAGACGATGTTTAGGTTCATTAGGCTGCGTCACACTCAGTCGGATGTCATGTAGATGCGAGAATATTTTTTTAGCCTTTTCCGGCTGTGAGAGATCAACCAGAGACCACTTCGCGCCCCGCATAATCTTCAACAATACCCATAGACCCACGAAGACGATAACCTGTTCAATAAAATCCTGATCAGTAGATGTAAACTGGATTCATCGCGATGTACAATGCTTCTCTTACCGCCAGGTATGATGCTAAGAATGGTAGAAGGTGGAACCCATTCCACAATGCTGCCCCGTTTGCGACTAATGAGACAAAGATACAACCCAACAAGGCTAGATATGCTGTAAATGGCTGCAAATGGCTTCGGTATGGATAGTCATCAAGGTCCTCCTCGTTCCAGCGCTGGACGTGGGGAACATTTTCGCGTTTGAGATAATGATGATGCCGACGAATACTAAGGGGAAGAAGCCTTGTTAATATCGTAAATATCCAACAGCTGAGTCGCTAGACATACCAATGGTAAAAGCGAATGAACGCCAGACACTCGCACGCCCAGACAATCAAAACCGCAGAGTATGCCATTTGGCTCAATACCTCCACAAACTATTCGCTTTTGTTAGCTTCAAGTCCGAAGTTAGAGGGAAGATAAGCGGAATTCTTACCATATCCACAGAGGCTCGAGTTTCTTTCAAGGCGGATTTGGTTGTATTCCCCGAGGATTGGCTGTTTCTATTTCCGCGGATCAGTTGCAGGAATGGTACCCACCAGAATGCAACCGCGGAGAATATCATAGCTCGCAGGGGAACCTGTCGTTTATCTGTTTTCCCAAACCACGCAAAGACACGGAGATACCATATCTGACCTTCGCCTCCATTCAGGCGACTTGTTAAGCCAAATAAGGTGCGAGAAGCGACATACAGATTAGTAGTAGCACAAGAGAGACATGTGAACACGAGGAAAGCATTGAAGACGTCTGCCAAGTGCGGAATATTGGACATTGCGGCAATTGCAACGAATGCAGCACTGTTTGAAGGCTTTTCGCACCCGGCCTCTATATCCAATGAAAGCCAGCTGAGACGAGGGAGAGCGCAGTCAGTTCGCCCTATATCAAATGTTGCAACCAGCCCACTGGTGGTATAGCCAATCATTGCAAGCAAAGGAATGAATCTAGCGGAAAACTTGAATGATTTCCCCATTTGGGCGTCGTTAGACCGTGTAGATATACTTGAGGGTGTCGACGTTTCGTCTGCGCGATGTGGCCATTTTGCCTCCAAAGCAGAGGCAGCAACAACTTCGACTCCGGTGTAGGCAAATGTCGCTATTGAAATGCTCATCCTGATATTTTAATTAGTAATTTGAAAAGATGGAAAAACGCATGTCATGACACACAGTAAAGCAGAGCCCCAGTTATCGGCAGCCCGTTTATCAAAGTCGGTAGGCGAAGCCCAATCTGAACATATCAGTATGTGAATCCAGCAACCAATGCATGAGACGGTAGTCATTGCTTACACTTAGCGCCCAAGGGGCGAGTATCTGGCCCAGCTGCCCATCGTTAGCACATATGCCCCAAAGAACGGATACACCAAAACAAAGACAGCCGTGAAGCACTTTACTAACCTCCAAGGTTAATTGCAATCAATGTCACGATAATAAAACCAAGAAAAAGTATTTTTATGGTGCCTGTTGCCACTTCCATCCAACCATAGATCTAAACACTCGTCAGCTAGCACCTTATTGGTCCCGAAGTCGCAAGCATTTGCATTAATCGGCAATAACAGATACAGCGTACCTCGATTCTTATGGCATTGATCAAGACGAGCACCAGTGGGATGGTGAAGTATATAATGCAACCCTGTAGAGCCGGCTGCTCGTTGATGTAATCCCAAAAGTTGAATTCCGCCGCGGAGGTTGCCACTAGTGTGGAGAAGGACATCGAATAGACAAACCTTCGACAGTTGTCAGCGGCTCTCCTCTTATGAATCCCAGATTCTACCAATCCCTTCTATGAAATTTGGTGTTTTTGGGAGGAGGGTGCGATTTACCAGTATGTAACACCGACTGCAATCCCCAGTTCTTCGTCCACAAACTGGCTAACATATACTGATAATGCACCAGGTATTGGCCAAATGCACAGCATTTCCGTGATGCATTGCATAACACCCCATGTTAAGATTCCAATGAAGAGAAAGGATAGAACCACTGCCAACGGTCCACCAAGTTCAAGAATCTGACCCCCACGCCAGTAGAGGCCTGTACCAAGAGTTGCATTGACTGTGATCATCTATCACTGTTAGCCTTCCAATTTTCCAAGTATCAAAAGATGACCATGTTGCCTATGTTGCCTATTGTATGCTAATGTCTAGGAAGGTCCGCTCTTAAGTTCGGAATTTCGGAGGTCTTCACTTACAAATAGATGAACGCCTTTCAAAGCTCTACTGACCGTCCGGTGCTGGCTAGGTCTGACAATAATTCGGGGCCCTGGGCACTTCGTGAAATTTTCGATGCCCTCTGAGTTCATCGAAACATATGAGAGTGAGCTTGTTAAGCTCGGAGAGTCAGTTGGGAGACGACGAGAAGAACCCTGAGATGGCGAATGTGGACTTCCAATTGGGATTTGTTCCATCCGCCCCGTGGGCAAAACACCAGAAAGCCAGGGTCGTGCCCACTCTGGCAGCTCTATCCATTGTGACTCTGCCAGCTGCGACATGGTATAACAAACGTATAGATCCCTTAAATCAGGATCACCACACGTTGTGATGTTCGAAAACAAGGGGTAACTGCTTCAATAAGTGTTCATTATATATTGAGCCGCATTTTATGCATAATGTAATGAACTCTCATGACAAAACTGTGGATATTCAAAGCTTCGCCTCCTTTACGAACCAGTTGCCTTCAAGATTTACATAGAATTAGGTCCAATCAGTCTGCACCCAGGTGGTGTAGACGCATGGAATCCTGGTTGTATCACAAAGCGGAGATTATGTCTCCATGTGGAATAGTCGTGCATTATCTCAAGACAACTCTCGAATCAGCGATGCCTGATAGTGCGCGCGCGAAATTGCAGCGGATAAGCAAGGCAAAGATCGGCTTTGTGACGTGGCAGTGAACTTCCCGGGGGTTTTCAGCCGCAGCTTGGGGTTTATCAGGTCTCCGTGGCTGGCCCGGAGGGAGGAAAGTACCCAAACAAAAAATTGCCATTAGTTCAAATAATCATGCCTAGAAAGGTCGTGGGACAGACTCCTCCCCAAACGACAAGTTGCCGCTACTTGCGGAAAGCCAATCTTCAAGATTTACTTGAACGACTGTTCCCGGGACAAACAGACTTTGGTATTCAGGTAACTCGCCCGAAACTCGTGCATCGGGCGCAAGGCTGACTCGTACGTTTTAGCTTAGAGAAGACCAATGGTGGTTCACTGCCCCTAGGATAGTGGATACTGTAAGTTGTGATCTGTGATCTCTTCCCCGTCACGAAATGAAGTCCATGGCTGACACAATTTTTTTCACAAGGCTGAGCTCGAGTAGGTGATATTCAGTTTTTTTTGGTCAAATAAAAAGACTGACATGGAACTAGTTCGGCTCAGGACGACTAGCCCAAGGCTTATGCTGCAACAGGGACAGCCCTCATCGGCACACCGAGTAGAGGCGCAGGGGAAGGCACTGCGGACAGGGTTGTAGCAGAGTGGCGGTTCAATAATAACAGCACATACGATCTGATATAATAACCCAGACCCTGAATTTAATCAATCTACTCTTATTCTTTTCTCCAAAGACCGAACATTATGACATTCTTTGATCATTACTGCGTAGACCAACCGGTTGAACCCGTACAAATCTTTGAGGTTGGACAGGATGCAACACCGCTCCTCACAAGAGGCTCATATCAGCAATCAGACCTTCGCACCGTGGAGGATACAGCATCTTTTCTGAAAAATAATCAGAACAAGCCTTACAAATGCCGCCTTGTGTATGTTGAATCAACACCATCCCTTTCTTCTGCTAATAATTGATAGGTCAATATGTCAACGTACTTCTTGGAGACCATTGCAGATCACTAAGCCTATGCTTGACCTCCTCGTTGCTGGACACGAGATAGGTCCATCATTTTGGGCGATACCATCGTGCTTTTATCAGCGTAGCGATGACCTTGAAGGGGTATTTTGCCTTCCATTCACAGAGTCCTGCTCTGGTTCCATAAATGGTACGTATCTTTAACCCGACATTGATCCTATTGCTAAATTGAAGAAACAGAAATATCTTACACTATAAGATACCCCGAGTACAGGCTACAAGAGGACAGATGGGTCATTCGTCAGACTGGAATTTACCACCGATACGACAAGACTTCATCCCAAAGTCTCTTCGTACTGTTCAATCCCACCCCACAATCCCAAGCGCATTCGCAGGCCGAGAATTTACTGCGCAACTTTTGCCCCGAGATTGAATCCGATCCTTTTTGGTTACACCGGCTCTTGTTCGAAACATACTTCCCCGCATGGAGGAAATATATTGCCATACACGAACAGCGATTTCTGCCACTTGCAGGCAGTACGATCGCCACTTTTATTAGTGGGCCTTTGGCTGTAGGGTACGATACCCTTAGAACATTGACTGCCTTGCAGACTCGATTTCTCGAAGTACCAGCCATCTTGAAATCAGCCACGGACATACTCGACGAGCTTTGTAATGTTAGTAGCTCCAGGTCAGGGGTCTCAACAAATTACCCCGGAGTTCATTATTTCAAAAATCACCGTCGAGAGTGCATTGCAATTTCCCATAATGCTTCACATTTACAGCAGCGGGCGCAGATTGTCTCAAAGCTCCTGGCCGACACTTTGTTGCTTCGGGATCAGGTTCTAGCAAAGGAACAGAATGCGAACATGCTACAGCTGAATAAGTCAGCAGTATTCATCACCACCTTGTCGTTGGTATATCTTCCTTCGTCATTCTTGGCTGTTTGTGTCCCTCATCTGATTTTCAATACATCACAACTGTTAGACCTCGACTGACAATCTCTCACAACAGACTATATTTGGTATGAATTTCTTCGACATGGATGAAGCCAACAATCGCATTGTTGGAACACCTATGATATGGATCTTTTTCGTCTCAGCTGCTGCCTTAACAGCAGTCACGTTCCTTCTATACTACTGGCTATTGCGTCGTGATAGTGCAACATTACGCGCGCTTGCACCGAAAATACAAAGAAGCCAAACTTGGACAATCGAAGGGGTGAGGAGGCGGTTCACAGGTGGCGGTGGCGCCAATCCCAGTATTGAGCTACAGGCTTGTTAGGTTTGAAAAAGAAAGCTTTAATGATAAGACCTCTGAGATTGGCCATTATATCGAACTTTTGTGGATATTGGGCTGTGTCTAAACATGAGCTCAAGATAGATGTATGTATAGGCAAAAAAATAGAGAAATTGCTAGTATTTATGAGAAGAGTATTGAAAATAAAAATCAGAATCAACAAGAAGAAAAATACATGTAAATACTTCTGCTGAACCCTATATAGACCTGGGCACAATGGTTTTGTATATGCGGCATTGATTTGCACCCATCAAAGCGGCAAGAATAACAACACTCTCTTCTTCACCGTGAACAACTCTCTCGGTAAACTCATCACTGTGTGTCAGGCCTGGAATTTCAGCAAGCTCTGTCACAGAAATCTTTGTTGCCTGAGGTGGCATGGCAATCTCCAATAGAAGCATTGTATGATGGGCCGCGCGCCTCCCCACCGCCAATATTTTGTCGTCATTTTTGTCCATCATTAGCTTAAGTACGCGGTAATTCTTGATGTCGAATTTTATAGCAGGCGTATGATCCTCTTGTGCGAGGCTTTGGATGTGCAACTGTTTTTCTCGGGTGACAAGTACACAAACATGAGGCTTTTGGAGAGAGGTAGCGAATGTGGTAAAAAGGCCAACAGTGCTGCTAGTATCAAGGCCCTACATAGGGGAGGTTAGATGTATAAAGAATTTGAAGTTGAAGATTGGGAGGTGAAAACTTACTAGTGACTCAATAATGAGTGGAGTTATCTGGTTATATCGAAAGGACACGTGAATGACGGGAATTTCGTGCTTATGATTTGGACCGCTTCGCTGTGGCCTAAAAACCATGTAGAGGTCGTCATCTGTTGAGAATGATAACTGAACAATGTCTGCGGCCGGCCAATCCAGTTTATACCTCAGCTTCCACTCATACGGAGAATTGATGTCGCCAAAATATAAGGACCCTGAATTTTGGTTTTCATCGTTGTTGCTGACAATGCATGCCACTCTCTGACTTCCAGGCGCGAGAGCCAACTTTTTAATCTCGGGCAGTGATGGTATGGAGACTCGATCCGAAGGTCTAAGATTGACGTCCATATATGGCCCCGTTGGTAGTTTGAAGATGTAACACTTGGGTTCAAAACTGATTAGGCCGGAATCAAAAAAAGGCAAGAGAAAACGAAATTCTTACTTGGACAGGACTTCCGGAGGTGGAAGCTATCAAATGTCTTTTCGTCAGGCTGATACTCTTCCAAAATCCTACAGTCGGGATCGGATATTCTGCAGCCGGGCGTATGCCATTATCCCCCTTTTGTTGCAGAGATTGCGAAGTGTAAAGGGAAATTTTGATGTCAGTCCAAAACGCGATAACAGTTCCATCCGGAGAGATCTCGCAGCCCTTGAAGGGCTCCGAGGCATCCAGATTCCAATACTTAAAGGGTCTGTCAGTGGCGGGATCTTGGCTCTCACGCATGAAAATATCGAGGTACATTCTCTGCAGCACCCTGCCTAGGCCAGGCGCTTCGTCTGGCAAACGTGGGGTCACCTCATTTCCCAAATCCCTGTACTGCTGCAATGTGCGGATCAACTTCTTTTCCAATTCGCTGGCGTTGCATCTCTTTGATGTTTCTGGCTGAAGAACTGAATGCACTAGATAGTCCAGCATTGATTTCACCGCTTCCCCTTCCTTGGGGCTCCTCAGTCTGGCGTTCTTTATCAGTTTGTCATGCCATAGTGTGACCGCCGGGCTGATCTTTGGTCGACCGAACAGTGGATCTGTGACAAAGAAGCGATCATAGCCATCCGCGCTGCGATGCTCTAGTCTTCTCGATTCGTACTCTTCCACGCCAGTCCTGCCCTCCTCCAAGTATGTGAAAACAACACTGAGGATACATCCTAAAGACCAGATATCGCTCTTTTCTCTCATAGCTCTATGTTTCGAAAGAGACTCGGGCCCAATATAAGTGCCGTCTCCACGTCTGTTGGAGGCCGCCGAGGGAGATGCATCCCTATACCGTTGGGACCTGACAAACCAACCACCAACATCTTTCTCTTTCTCCCTTCCGTGAGATCTCAATTTGAGACGAGACATGCCGAAGTCACTAATTTTCCAAACGGCCTCCTGCCTGCCCTTAACATTGTCGAGGAACACCAAAATATTACTCGGCTTGATATCCATATGGTAACAGACCATCATGTCCCCTTCGGCAGTCCTCATACCATTATGAAGAAACTCGAGCCCACGGGCGAGTCCCCAAGCTGAAAGAATTATATCCGTCTTCTCCATAGTGGTATTCGGTTTGTTTGGACGTTGTTCCCTCATGTAGGCGCTCAGATCGCACAATGCGAGAGGCATGAAGATGCTGTATTTTGTGCCAATGGCAAGGCCGCCGTAAATATCCACGATATTTGGACAAGTCCGGTCGCAGGCAAGGATTTGCCTCAACGTGTCCCTCTCCATGTCCTTGGTGGATTGGTAATCTTTGCGTGCCATTTCCTTCGGCTGGTCATTTGTTCCATTAATGTCCGGGTCGTAAAAGTGCCTCGTAGCAATCTTTACTCGGTATACAGTGCCTTGTGCTCCTTCCCCGAGGTAGTGTTGCTCCAGGTAGGGTAAACACTGTCGGTCCAGGCCCTGAATTCGAACTTCTGTTTTATTGCGAATCACGATAGGACAAAAGCATGCTTGCTGTGCCATGAATTTGTCCGGTGTGACTTGTTCCCCGAAAATCTCCGTGAGGCTCTCACGCTCTGCTGGTAGAGAGCAAAGATTTGGTGACCAGCCAGTTTGCGCTAACAATTTGATGGTGAATGTTCGAGCGGCTTCGATAGTGCATGAGGTGAAAATGAGAATAGCGAGGAAATTATGAAGCTTCCGTTCTCTCATATTGTCAATCAAATTTTCTTCATTGAAATCGAAGTCAAGATCAGCGTTTATTGGCATATCGTCCAATAGAAGACTCCGAAAAAACTGCCGCAACACTTCTGGCTGTAGCACTTTTTCCGCAGTACCATGAGGAGCAAATCGGCTTCCCTCCTCATGGCTCCTTTCCATCCTTCCCATCCTTTCCGTCTTTTTCGTCTTTTCCATCCTTTTCATGATTTGCACATAGATCTCGTCACGTAGTTCATTGTATTGAGGGGATGCCATGTTGAAGTTCGCGCTCTGGTTCACTGAGCGAATGAGACCGTTTCAATGTTGGAAATCCCTAGACGTTAGGTACAATCATGAAAAAAATTGTAGGACGAGATCCAAAACAATAGTTATCCACGAGGCGATCGGCTAGGACTATTGACGCGTTCTGATTTGGATGCAACATCCCCCCTACACCCTGCATAATCTTGCGGCTGACCTCGGCTTTCCCAGGTAATATTCAGCCGAAAAGTAAAGCACAAAGCAGATAAGGCAAAAAAGCATAATAAACAGCAAAAAATAGGCCACTACGCCATTTCACCCCTGGAATCTTGCCCATCAATTTCTAGCCTACCTCCCTTTGTTTCATGTGCTGATTGATAGTCGGGCGTCGGTGCTATACGAAGTTCAACTCTTTGACCCTAGGCTTTTTCCCCACAAAATCAGGAAATGAGCCTATGTTATACTCCGTATAATGCTACTTACTGTGATGGTATCTCTTGGCCCCACAAAATACAGCTCTCTTCTTTTATCCGAGATAGGCTCTGAAAACCCGGGCGTTGCGCCACCGGGGCTTTGTCCTTCAGAAATCTTTACCATGTCCTCCTAGAAGCTCGCGGACCTTATCATCAGCCATACTCTGTATGCCACTTTCGCTGACATGCATGAGGATAATGCGCGCGGCATCAATGTGGTTCTAGATATTAGCATCTCTCCACTCATCGTTCCCCTATGTCCTTCTCGGAAGTTGCAGGTCCCGTAGAAACCATGTCTGTTTCTTCTCAGATCCTTAGTATGGTTAACAAATGGCCCCAACAACTAGGTTCCATAACTCAATTGGTTATAGCGTGGTGCTAATAACGCCAAATTCGAGGGCCACCCCCTAGGGATGTCGTTTACGCAACCCAATCAAGCATCGTGGCGCTTCGTCCTAGTCCTCAGCCTTTTATTCTCCACCTTACTCAGTCTCTTCATCTTTGCACTGCCAGAAAGTCCTCGCTGGCTATGCAAACAGGGCAAGTGGGACGAGGCTCGGGAGATCTTGACTCTTTTGCATAATGACGATCCTGACTTCGAAGAGATTACCCAACAGCTCGAAGATATTAGAATATCACTTGAGCGGGCTGGCAATGCCAGCATCCTCGTGATGTTCAAAATGGGACCACAACGAAGCCTTCATCGCGTCATCCTCGCTGCCGTTCCTCAAATGTTTTTACAAATGAGTGGTGTCAACGTTATCGCACAATATACTCCTGTCGTCTTCGAGCAGTTTTTGGGCTTCAACGCATTTGATTCTGGGATTCTGGCTGCAGCTTCCCAGTTTGCAGTCATCCTCGGCGCTATCTGCTGCTCCTGGACAGTCGATCGAGTTGGTCGACGGAAACTGATGCTGATCAGTGCGACTATGATGTCCATATGTTTCGCCTGTCTGTCGGGTCTACTAGCCCATCCTGAAAACCATACTGGGATTAAGGCTGCTGCGTTCTTTATATACTTCTATCTATTCGTTTATGTCCTTGGTTTCCTTGGGATTCCATTCCTCTATGCAAGTGAGGTCGCGGTGACTCAGTTTCGAGCACCAACAACTGGACTATCTACTGCGGTATCCTGGCTATTCAACTTCATTGTCGCCGAAGTCACTCCGGTGGGATTCGCTAATATTGGCTGGACATATTTCCTGGTGTACTGTTGTATCAATGCGGTATGCGTGCCGACGATTTATTTCTTCTCCCCCGAAACAGCTGGACGCTCACTCGAGGAAATCGATGAGATCTTCCTATCATCAAACTCAATCTTCGACACCGTTACCGTGGCAAAAGAACTGCCAAAGCACGAACATCGTGGGGTGTGCGCAGACGAAGAAGGCAAAGAGACTTCCAGTGAAGCTGTCCATATTGACCATATGGAAATAATGGGAAGAACAGATCGAGTGGCAGAACCGAATATGCGGTTTTCGCTGTGTTTCCAGTGAGAACTGTATTTAAAATGATTTAATCATACTACCTGGAAGTAGATGATTTTTCGGATGCAAAGCGCAGGAAGCACCACACTGTAGTTACTCCACGGGTACAGTAAGTGAATATTTAATAGTTACCCAGTTTGAAGCATGGTGCTCGATACATACATCTATTTGTATCTAAACTATTCAACAATGTGCGCTATAAGACGATATGAAATACGTGGTACTGTATGTCGCCTAAACAAGCCTTGGAAACAGCCCTGGAGACCATCAAGGCCCTTGAGATATTTTAAACCGGCCTCTGCAACAAAATTTCTTTTTTTGTGAATGAAATGAGAATGCTCGGGCAAGGGGTTATTATTGGGCTCGATCTATGCGGAGCGTTTACAAAGTACGGAGTACATATGAACGCGCTCACTGGGCATGCTACACTACATGTAGTGCCCAACGGCGTCAGAATGGGCATTTAAAACTCAACCCATGTTGTAAACAACATCTAAGATAAAGGGGGGACAGACTAGTTCCCATTTCTCATTGATTCAGAAGAGACTAGTAGTTTTAATAGTACCATCTCATACAAAAATCTCCCATTTAATAGACAAAGGGGGTGTAAACAATAGAGATCTATACTTAGAAGTGGGTCCACAAGGGATGCAGCTGCAAATTGTCACTTGATAAATTTCCTAGACTTCCAGTTTCAACTATTCTTTTCATCTTCTAAAGTTATTTTTGTTAAACTAATTTCTTTTCGAAGTTCAAAGCAGACAAGAATCTAGTCACTAGAACACGGTTGCTCGGGTGATCTTCAACTCCGACTTGCGGGACAAANGGACAAACCCCCCCCCCCCCCACCCCTCGACATAATTTCCCCCCCTTTGTGCTCCATTGCTCTGATCTCCAGTCCGAATCGGAAACCAAGTCTTTTAAGCCTCCAGTCTTTGATCATCTTAGTCATTTTCTTCTTAACCCTAAACCCAGTTCGCTGTCACGTTCCGACACTATCATTGCCAATCGGCCCTGAATGTCTCCGCCGTAATCGAAGATGTTGACGGTTGAGAAGCAGTGGATTAATGTGCAGCAAAAGACCTTCACCAAATGGTACATTCCCTACTTCATTTACTCTCTGAATGAACCCTAGCTGACGAGCAATGTTAGGTTGAATGACAAGCTGAAGGCACGGCGCCTGTCCATCGAGGACTTGGTCACTGACCTTTCCGACGGCGTATGTCCCACCTGTGCCCCGCTCACTAATTTCATGTTGCTGATCGCGTATTAGGTCATTCTTATTCACCTCCTCGAAATCCTTGGAGGAGAGTCCCTCGGTCGATACGCCTCGAAACCCAAACTGCGCGTACAGCGCTTCGAAAATGTGAACAAAAGTCTCGATTTCATCAAGGGGAGGAGGATTCAGATGACGAATATTGGCGCAGAAGATATTGTCGATGGCAATCAAAAGATCATCCTCGGTTTAATCTGGACCCTGATTCTGCGCTTTACTATCAGTGACATCAACGAAGAGGGTATGACTGCAAAGGAAGGATTGCTACTCTGGTGTCAACGAAAGACGGCATGCTACGACGATGTAGAGGTCCGAGATTTCTCGTCCAGCTGGAACAATGGCCTGGCCTTCTGCGCGCTTCTCGACATCCACCGACCAGACTTGATCGACTACGACTCGTTAGATAAGAGTGATCACCGTGGAAATATGAAGCTGGCCTTCGAGATCGCATCCAACGAAATCGGCATCCCGGACCTGCTTGACGTGGACGATGTATGCGACGTAACCAGACCCGACGAGCGCTCTCTCATGACCTACATAGCCTACTGGTTCCACGCTTTCTCGCAATTGGAGAGAGTCGAGAATGCTGGGCGACGAGTGGAGAAGTTTGTTAACAACATGCACGGCGCATGGGATATGCAGAACTCATATGAGCGCCGAGTAAAGGAATTGTTGCGACTCATCCGTGGCCAGCGTGAACACTGGAAGACCTCCTCGTTCGAGGGAACATACAAAGACGCCAAAGAACAATCATATCAGTTCTCCCTCTACAAACGAACCGAGAAACGCCAATGGGTGGCCGAAAAATCCGACCTAGCTGCTTTGCTGGGCAATATCAAAACCAAATTGGGTACATATCGACTGCGTCCGTATGACCCACCGCAAGAACTGAGTCCAGAAAACTGCGACAAAGAATGGGAGATCCTTACCCGGCAGGAGCATGAACGCAGTCAACTTATAAACGAGACAATCCGTGACATTAAGAACAAGCTACGTCGCTCCTTTGCTGACAAGGCAAATGACTTTGCATTAACCCTGAAGACCCTGTCATTGGCGATCTCCGGACTGGATGGTGATGTTGAGGACCAGCTTGATCATGTCAAAAAATTGAATAGCAACTTGCCTCCCCTCGACGCCTTTCTCGACACCATCGCGGAATTGGACCAACAATGTGCAGAAGCCAATATCGAAGAAAACGACTTCACCACATACACCCTTGACGAGCTTGCGTATGAGCTGAGCCTCGTCAAATCCAGCATTTCTAAGAAGCTGGCGTTCCTTGACAACCAAATGGTTGCTCGCAACATGACCAATCTGACCCCTATCCAATTGGAAGAGTTTGAATCGGTATTCCGTCATTTCGATCGCGACTCTTCTAATACTCTTCATGAGCTCGAGTTTTCCGCAGCACTTGCCAGTCTGGGACTGGTCTATGACGAGGACGAGATGCACCAGGTCTACGTGGAGGTGTGTGGGGTCAACCGACTGTCACAGAATGCCGGAGTCAGCTTCGAGCAGTTCATTCGGTTTATGGTCAGCGTAACAGAGGATCAAAATACTGCCGAACAGGTCTTCCAGAGTTTCAAGGAAGTTGCCGATGGCAAGGTATGTGAAGCAATTTCTTTAATATCTGACAAATTTATCGGGGTACAGTCACTAACTTCTCCTGCAGCCCTACGTCACAGAACTGGACCTCCGACACTCGCTCATTCCAGACGAAGTTATTGAGCACTTGGTTAAGACCATGCCTGCACATGATGGCCCCGATCTACTCGAAGACCGGGAGTTGCCCAAGTATGACTACATCAGCTTCATGGAAAAGATGCGAGAAGTAAACAAAAATAATGGGACCGAGCAATAAGAGGTGTCATGGAGGTTGATATTTGCGCAGCATTACTGGTGATTATGAGGGATTTGCACTAACTTGGTGTTGCTGTGTTTCTGGTGTTTTCAGGGAGGATTCGCATGTTTTTTTAAAACCCGGATCTCTCCCTCTTGGTTTTTTTCTGTGGTTCATCTTGCATCCAGGGGTTCGGTGGTTGTTCCTCTTTAACATGTATTGTGTTGGTGTATGCTTGTCTGTTTGTAATGATCAGGATACCATTTGAACATTTTCAACTATCAAGACTATTGATAGACGCGGAGTTGGACTTGGATAAGCGAGGACAGTCAAGAAGACGCTTAAATGTGAGATAACATAACAAGTTTTTGTCAGTACAATGGTGGAAACGTTGAAGCTATTCTGGGTCTGATCTGTAGATGTGGATACTGCCGATCATTGCCGTATCTATGCAATGGATGTCATGTGACAGTCCCCAGATCCATCGGAGTTGATGAGGGATCCTGCGGCTCATATTCGATTCCTTGACATCTCTAACTTCTTTCAACCTTCACCATTTAAACACTGGTCCTAATTGAATTTGTTGACTATAAGTTTTCTTTTACAAATTTTATTCTTCCCTAATCGCATCCTCAGCCATACACTCCAAGATGGATCGCAGCTTGGACGAGATCATCGCTGAAGACACGGTAACGCTCCAGCGAGCAATGAAACCAGCAGAACATGTGACTGACCAACTCAATTGCAGCGGAACACTGGTCGCCCCTCAGGTGGTGGTGGTGGTCCTCGTCGTCAAAACAATCCCGGCCGTCGCCACGAGCGCGATGGCGTAAGAAAGGTACAACTTGACTCCAAACTGAGGCTCTATTCCAAATTTATGTTCTAGATGGCATTGAAACTAATATCTCACTCGATACCTAGGTCCGCCCTCCTTTCCCTCTGCGAATTCTCTTCTTGCTCCGTGACAATCGTAGCCAGTCCTCTGGATCATTGGAGACTCGCCAACGAACACGCCACGGCAAAGACATGGAAAAGAAATTTGCACGATATCTCATCTGACTTGGAGCTAACGCTAAGTCTCTTCGATAACAACAGCCATACACTTCAGACCGTGTCGATCTCAACCTGTGATTATACCTCTCTCTGGATACGATGGTGTGAATGATATTGACGGGTCTGTGTTTCTAGCGACTGGGTGCACGACAAATATGACGACGACCGATGTATGTGGCTTTCCCGTACTTTTCCGGGATCTATCTAACAACATTGCTCTTCAGCCCGCCCATCCCGTGGAGGCCGCAGAGGCCGCGATGGACCTGATTCCGATCGGTATGGATCCTCTCATCAAATCAGCCTTGACTTGATAGCTTGCCCGATCAAAGCGCTAATTGAATTATTAGCTCTAGCACACTGACCAAGGTTCGCGTGGATAACCTCCACTACGACATCACCGAAACCGACCTCGATGTATGTTTCAATTACCCCATACTCAACACCCACACAAGAACACCCCTAACCAGCCTCTTCGCTGAGCAGGATCTCTTCGGCCGAATTGGACCTGTTTCTGAACTTACTGTCTCTTACGACCGCGCTGGACGCTCCGAGGGAGTTGCTTACATCACATACGCCCGCTTGAAGGATGCGCACACCTCCATTCAGGAGTATGACGGAGCCAACGCCAAGGGCCAGCCCATCCGTCTTTCTCTCGTCCCCGGCCGCCGTGAACGTAACCCTCTCGACTCCGCACAGCGACCTAGATCCAGTCTTATGGACCGCGTCGAGCGCCCCCGTGATGACCGCAGCATGAGCCCCGAGAACAACGCCGATGGCCGACGCCGCCGTGGTGGTGGCGGCCGTGCTCATCGCAGCGACGTCACCAAGCCCGCCCCAGACAACATCGATCGTTACGTCCCCGGACAACGCTCCCACCAGCGCTCACCTACCCGCCGCGGTGGAGGCAGACGGGGTGGTGGACGCGACAACCGCTCTCAACAGACTGATGGATCCAACCGCCGATCCAATGCCCGTCCGCGCAAGACTCAGGAGGAGTTGGACCAGGAGATGGACGATTACTGGGGTGGTGCGAACAACGGCGGCGGTGAAGCGGCTGCACCCGCTCAGGACGCCGCCCCTCAGCAGACTGCTCCGGCTCCCAGCGCACCCGCTGCCGACGATGATATCGATATGATTGAGTAGATACCTCACGGTCACTCGAATTACGGGAGCCTCGCTTGTCTTTCGCATTTCAGAACTTTTGGGCCTCCGTGACACATTGCTTTTGAGTCTTTTCTATGAATGAGGATCACCTCGGCCTTTTTCCACTCTTCTCTTCTCTCCTTCTATCTCCGAAGCTTTTCAGCACGAGGACTGAAAGTCTGTACTTTACCTCAACCACCAAATTGTAACTCGGTCCATATCACAAATTCGGCTTCTCACTGCTTCGATTCTTCTTTACCCTTGCTGGGCTCTTATCCTTGTCCCTGCTCTTGTTGCATATCCACACCAGCGGAGTGGGAGCCCATGATAAAGTTTCTTTCTCATTGCATTGTTCGGTGTATTTCGTCTCTTTCTATCGTCGGGTTGGAGGTAAAAATAGACGCGTGTATGCTGCAAAGCCTGCATACAAAGAACGAGAGGCTGCTTGCAACCAATGGATGACGGCAAGATACGAAGATAGCGCGTACACCCAATAAAAACGGCCGCCAATTATAAATAGAGCAAGGACCGCAAATGAAAATGAAAAAGAATATAATGTTCTTCCGTGATTTTTTCTGTACACTGTAACAATTATGAGAGTGTCAAGTTCACCTCCACAGCCCATAGGGTTCGCGGCATGCTTTCCATAACTTGATAGTACCGTCCTCGCTACCAGTTCCGTAGAGCTTGCCATCGGGGGAGAAGCTGACAGACCAAATAGGGCCATGGTGACCTTTTTGAACCTCTGCAAAAGAAAGTTAGCTCGATTCCAATGGCAAAAGACGCAGCACTCCAAGTAGCAAAAACATACCCAGCTCCTCGTCCGTGTTCAAGTCATAAACTCTTGCCCAGGTATCATTTGCACTGCCCGTAACCAGACGACCAGACTCGCTATTAACCGCAGCACTAGCAACATCATAGTCATAATCAGCCTTCTTAAGCAACCGACCAGGTTGCACGCCATCAAAGAGATAAACGCTCTTCCCCGCCGCGACAGTCAAAATCCCCGCATCATTAGGCCTTGTCGCCAGACTATTCAATTCGCAAGAACCAATAGTGCCATCAACAGTATACTCAACGATCGGGTGGCGCGACCGCAGATCCCACCAGCGGATCTTGCGGTCCTCTGCCGCCGTTGTGACGACATTGTAGTCCTGGTTCCAGACAATAGACTTGATCGTGCCGCCGTGCACGCCCGCGCCGATCTCGTAGCTCGCCACCCCATTCTCAGTGGCCGGAGTGGCCGAGGATGGGAGAGGGGGTGTTGAGCCCGTGCTGGAACTGCCTCCCCGCGTTAGATCGAAGATTCGTAGCTTCTTCTCTGCGCCGCCTGTCGCGAGCACTTGCGGGTTCGCTTGAATTGGGAATGCTACTGCGCGCACGATGTGTGCGTGCTGCAGTGTGTGCAGGCATTCGCCTGTGTAGGTGTCCCAAACCTTGCTGTTTCGGGTGTTGAGGTTAGTACATCATTGTGGGAGAATGGTTTAGGGGTTTGCTTACGCTGAGAAATCGGCTGCTGCTGTTGCTGAGATGGCGGCGTCGGCGGAGAGCCTGGCTTGCCATACGGCACCTTTGTGGCCGAGGAATGTTCCAATCCTGGGGTTGAGGTTAGTAGTTGCTTGCTGGGCTTGGTTTCATTTGCCGTACCAGTCTCCCGTTATGCCATCGCGGAGCATGGGGTTATTATCTTTAGTTGGTTAGTGACTATGCGGTAGCCAGTGAGAACCATCGGTCTTTCTTACCTTTGCATGAAGAGATGAAGTAATATTGCTCGTCTTCGAGGGTGGAAGAGAAGCTCAGATGCGTCACCGGACGAGAATGTCCATGGCAAGTCAGAGGGACTACCTTGGGGATATCTGTTCAAGGCATATCAGTAAACTTATCAAGATTGTGATTTTGCATTCCCGTCTACACAAATCACTCACCGGCCGTCATTTCGTTGGTGTTGAGAGAAGTTCCCGAGGTTTCAGTAGTTTTGATGTTAGGTATTAAGAGAGTCAATCAGATCAGCGAAGTGCTATGTACCCAACTGAGACCACGACTTGATATCAAGATAAAAATCCAGGAATCAGACCGAGAGAGTTCAATATGTCTAAGGAAGGTGCATAAGAGATTCGTCAGGGTCGTCAAGTCATCAAACAGATATGTGGGGTCCGAGGAAGAGCCGAGAACAAAGGATCGAAGCAAGTGGATTGAACAAGGACCTTTCTAACCAGACACCTCAAAAGGAGAGCAGGCCTCTGGGAATATGAAACTCCTTCGGTGTGTAGACGGGATATTGAATTTCAATTTCAAACAATAACGGGCAGCCCTGGAGCCGATCACATATTAGGTAATGCATGCGCTAGTCTGATTCGGGTATAATTGGGACACGTGAGGCTCATATGTCGTTTTTTATATTGTAGCTACAGTTTACAGCTAAGAATTATATTTCATACACAGACATTGATAGAGATTTAAAAACGATATAGCAGTGAATCTAGCAAGATATCAAAAACAAATATCTTAAAGGACCCTGTAAAGATACTTAAAAAGACATCTCAAAAGAACATTGAAAAAGACATTGAAAAAGATATCTAAGTTAATGTCTCTAATATCATGTCATAGCCACTGCATATCCATACCATCTAAGTCCTACATCTTCAACTACATGAAGTACATCATTAGACGCCAACTGTTCTATACAGTACGACTCCTAGCAGTAGATCACGTGCCCGTTGGAGGTCGTGCAGGCCCCACTTTCCTCAGTCCCACTTTTCCCTTCCTTTCCTCCAACCAGACAACGACCCCAAGTATATTGTTGCTATCACCTTTGAATCTTCTATTTTTCTATCATGGCTAATGCTGAGCCAAGATATCACACTGTTCAATATTTTGGGCGAATATTCAGCTGAGTAACCCCAAGCCCTCATCAAGTCGATGATAGATTGCGATGCCTATCCCGCCAAATATATCGCAACACATTCCCCTGCCTGTGGTCTAGCGACATCCCCAAACTCAGATCGTTTGCAAGAATGGCATCTAATGACGATATGGCGGTGGTTTTGAAGGGGGTTTTTTTTAGCAGGGTGATGTCTCCTTTAACGTACCTGGAGTATGAAAGTACACTAAAGAAGGTCTCTAGAACACCGAACTGATAATTTAACTCTTAATGGGGGCTGGCAGGAAACAGGCCGATGATGTCTCCACAGCCTCGTCCTCTTCTAATGAGAAGCGCCTAAAGTTTCCTATCTCAAATCCGTCGGGTGAGCAACTGGCGAGTTTTTCTCTCCCAGAACCTGCACCGGAACAACCTGCACGTGAAGATACGCCGCGCAGTGCGGTAGCTAGGCATGCCGTATGTTAACTGAAAAGACCTATCGGATATATTGCGAACTTTGTATCTTTAGGCCTTAGATCGAGATGGGAATGCATGTGTTCTCACGAAGTACGGTGTATGGGGATGAAGCCAAAATGGACACTGAGGGAGTGGAAAATCTCATAAACTTCAACATCAATGTCCACGACTTCTGGAATGGTGCTTTTTGTCCTTTAGGTCCTATCTGAATCACCGAGGATAATACCTCCATGTACAGATTCTCCGAACTGCTTATGAGAGATCTGATGGAGATGATAGTCAGTAGGGCTGTTTCCTTGCTAGATGATATCTTATATATTGATATCATTAGCGGTACTGTCGACCCATCTTGGTATGGGCAACAATAGCTCTGATGGAGTACTAGATACTTCCTTGTTAACGGCCTAGTCCGCTTCATAGGACCTGATAGATTGCAGCCCTACAACATAAAAGCTTCCAACTGGAGCAAGATATGGCTACCCACTAGATTAGGAAGTTGCCGGTATGGTAGATGAGTCACTTGAGGACCACCTGGGCACCCAAGGATGTAGCAAAAATCCATAGGGCTGGAAGATCCAATTAAATCGCCGTACCTTTGCTTGATAAGACCTCGGCGTGTTCTAGCAGGTTCCCCAAATGGCGTTACCGCCCACGTGATATAACCATTGATGCTTCGGCGGGGCGATCCCCCGGAACGACTAAAGGACAACAACATCCAGGGGAGCTTGATTGATCATTAATTCCGCGGTGATACCCTCAAACTATTTCTCCTTCAGATTCTTCTCTCTTTACTGTTTCTACCCTCGAAGTTTTATGTATGCCTGACTTTAAGCTCTCCGCAACTTTGGAGGGCCACGGCGATGATGTAAGGCTCCTGGTCCCGGCGTCTGTACAGATGCTATTGACCGCGCTTCCAAACCACACAGACTACTCACACTGTTTTGACTGATTTAGGTTCGCGCTGTGGTCTTCCCAAATCCTAATGTCGTTCTTTCTGCCTCTCGTGATGCAACAGTTAGGCTCTGGAAGCTCGTCTCTACTCCACCTCCCGCATATGATTATACCATCGCTGCACATGGTAGCGCCTTCATCAACAGCCTAGCCTACATTCCTCCCACATCCGAGTTCCCCGAGGGGCTTGTTCTTTCGGCTGGACAAGACGCAATAATTGAAGCCAGACAGCCCAGTAAGGGTGCAGATGATAATGCGGACGCTATGCTTCTAGGTCACGGCCACAATGTCTGTGCTCTGGATGTGTCCCCGGATGGGAAATGGGTCGTCAGTGGCAGCTGGGATTCTACCGCCCGGCTATGGAGGGTTGGGAAATGGGAGTGTGATGTGGTACTGCAGGGACACGAGGCAAGCGTCTGGGCCGTGCTGGCCTATGATGAGAACACAATCATCACGGGTATGTAACCCTTCATACGGCCCTAACTCGTCATAAATGCTAATGTGACCACAGGCTGTGCTGACAAAATGATTCGGGTATTCAATACCTCGGGAACTCTTCTTGGAAGCGTACAGAACTCAAACGACGTCGTCCGAGCCTTGTGCAAGCTTCCTGCCTCGAACTCTACAGGAGCCCACTTTGCCTCGGCTAGCAATGACGGAATTATTCGTCTTTACACACTGCAGGGTCAACTCGTCGCCTCCCTGCATGGTCATGAAAGCTTCATTTACTCCCTTGCTGCGCTCCCATCTGGCGAGCTGGTGAGCTCTAGTGAAGATCGCACTGTGAAGATCTGGAATGGGACCCAATGTGTGCAGACAATCACTCATCCTGCAATCTCAGTGTGGAGTGTGGCAGCTTGCAGTGAGACCGGTGATATTGTCACCGGTGCTAGTGACCGCATTGCTCGTGTTTTCAGCAGAAGCCCTGACCGTCATGCTGCCCCGGAGGCCATACAGCAGTTTGACCAAGCTGTCAAGGAGTCGGCTATCCCAGAACAACAAGTTGGCAAGATTAATAAGGAAGAGCTGCCTGGTCCGGAATTTCTCAAACAAAAGTCTGGAACTAAGGAAGGTCAGGTCCAAATGATCCGAGAGCCTGGCGGTACCGTCAGTGCCCATACCTGGTCGTCGGCGACACAGGAATGGATTGCGATTGGTATGGTAGTGGACTCGGCTGGAAGCAGTGGCCGGAAGACCGAATACCATGGTCAAGATTACGATTATGTCTTCGATGTTGACATAGAGGATGGCAAACCTCCGCTAAAACTGCCATACAATGCCTCGCAGAATCCATATGAGGCTGCCACTAAGTTTATTGGAGACAATGAACTCCCTATGACTTATCTGGACCAGGTTGCCAACTTTATCACTCAGAATACTCAAGGTGCCACCATTGGGCAGACTCAGGAACCTGAAGGTGCTGATCCTTGGGGCTCAGACCGACGTTACCGTCCTGGAGACGCTGCGGCGACTGAAGAGCCGCAAACACCTGCTCCCGAGCCACGCCCTAAAGTGCTACCTCAGAAGATCTACCTCTCCATCCGCTCAGCAAATCTCAAAGTTATTACGAAGAAGCTTCAGGAATTAAACGCGAAACTCGTGTCTGATGGATCAAAAGATGTGGCTTTAAGCCCCTCGGAAGTGGAAACGGTCGTTGCCTTGTGCGGTCAGCTCGAATCTTCCCAACAGCTTCAAGCATCACCCGAGGTTGAGTCAGGAGTGCCATTGATTTTAAAGATTGTCACAACCTGGCCTGCCGCCAACCGACTCCCTGGCCTAGATATTCTCCGTCTACTAGCCGCTGCTGTGCCATATACAGCATCCGCCGAGTACAAAGACGAAAATGTCGTGTCGGGTGTGATATCCAGCGGTGTTTTTGAATCTCCTCTCAACGTCAACAATGCAATGCTTGCAATGCGAACATTTGCTAACCTATTCGAGACGACCGCCGGCCGAGATCTGGCCATCAGCTCATTTGATGAGATCCTGGCAGGAGTGAAGTCCGCCTTAGCCAGTAGTGGAGAGTCACCAAACCGCAATCTTACCATCGCCATCACGACACTCTACATCAACTTTGCAGTTTACCTTACCTCCGAGGGGAGGAACCAATCTCCAGAATCTGCTGAACGGGGTCTGGTCCTCCTAGAGGAACTGACTCGGATCATAGCTGCAGAGAAGGACTCAGAGGCGGTTTACCGAGCACTAGTTGCGCTTGGCACACTGGTGACAGCGCTCGGGGAGGAGGTCAAGAGTGCTGCTAAGGAGATCTATGAGATTAAAGGTGTTCTCGCGAGAGCCTCAGCCTCTGGCCCTGGAAAGGAGCCGCGCATCAAGGGCATTATTAGCGAGATCCGAGAGGCTCTCTGAGAGTGCGTGCTATTTTTTATTCGGTATGCATCGTTCATAGATGCGTTACTTCCTTACGACGACAACGTGATTCCCATACAAAGACATTTTTTTGCCTTCTCTTCCACTTCGTAGTAGATAAATCGTAAAATGTTCTTTCATTTTCTAATCAACTAGCGTTCTCAACAACCCATCTACTCACTCTCTTACAATCTCCCCTCCGCATCAACCCCAATCTCTAAAACCTGATCAACACCTTGATACTTAGGCAAATCAAGCCCATACTTATCAGCAAGGTTCTTCGTCAAAAATCTACCACCAATGAAATGCCTGCCCCGATAAAACGCCACACACGGCTTGGGTGCAGACAGACTGATCAGGGCATGCGGCATGAACTTCGCACCGGGTCCCTCTTTCGGCGGTCCGCTCTGGATATCCCATGAGCTGGGCGCATCGACACTCAGCACCTGGACGTTAGCGGCTTCAATTTGCGAGACGAATTCACCGAAGGGATCGCGCAATGCTCCGCCGAAGGAGAATCCAAAGATGGCATCTACCAGGAAGTCTGTTGACTTTAGCGCTGTCTGAAAGTCGTCTATAAAAGGGACCGAGAGGTTTTCGAGTTGAGTTTTGAGGCGCTGGGTTGAGTTAGCTTTGCTAAAGCTCTTTTTGTGCTTGGGGTTACGTACTTGGTATAGCTCGTTTTTGCCCTGTTTTGGGTAGTACACCGATGGTGTGTAGCCGAAGTGGGCTAGGTGCCGAGCGGCTACGAGGCCATCTCCTCCTGGGGATTTGTTAGGTTGTTGTTGCTCGGAATGGTAAGACTGGAGTTGCTTCTCACCATTATTGCCTGGTCCGCACACAACTAGGATATTCTTGCCTGCACTTGGGGGATGGACTTTCCATACTGGTTGCTCGTTGTATCAGTATGGCCTAAAAGCATGTTCAAGATCGATGGAGCTTACCAGCCTGCGAGACAGAAAGGCCCGCTAGCTCCATCAACTGATCTAGAGACCAGCCGCCGGTCTCCATGAGGTCTTTGTCCAGTGAGGCGGCATCCTTGGCTGAAATTGCCTGGAATATTTGTCAGTTAATATGTCGTTGGAGTTAATAACAGACAACTATACTTTCAGAGACATTATTGCTGGCTTACTGTAGCGACGAATGGAGAGAGGTAGATGAAGATGGGTGAATGTAGAACGGATCATGTAAGTATTTCAATGATAGAGCTAGTCTTTCGGCTAATTGAGTAAATTGACAGCAACGGTGCAAGCCAAAGTGACAGCCAGCTTCGAAGTAGATCTACTGAGGGTCCTCACATCATTACATCATATATGCGCTAGTCTATATCTGGCTATGTCGGATAAATAATTGTTCCGCACCTCCTCGAACTTTTGCGGAGGGCAGACGGGATCATCAAAAGAACAGTCTTGCGCTCTCTTCAATTGAAAAGTATTACACACCCGCCCAAATGGTTCTTCGGATTCGACTCGCCCGCTTCGGCAACAAGCACAACCCTTTCTTCAACATTGTCGTTGCGCAAGCCCGGTATGTGGTTTTTCCCCTGTGAATGGATACCCCCGATACGCTCCAACCCTCATTGCCAGGCTAGAGAGTGCTTTAATCCATTGTGCACTGAATCTTCAAGAAGAACTGAAATTGACCTTGTTGTATTCAGCTCCGCCCGCGGCGCTAAGCCCCTCGAAGTCATCGGCACCTACAACCCCATCCCAAAACGTCCCACGAACTTGTACGAGAATACCGATGCCCGCCCATATAAGGAGATCGCCCTCGACCGGTCACGCGCAAAGTACTGGCTCGGTGTTGGTGCGCAGCCTAGTGATCCTGTCTGGAAACTGATGGGCATGGTAAGCCTGACCCTTGTTTTCTGCATCCGCGAGAGTTTTGAGAATCGGAGGATCCAAGGAAGATGGGCGGCTATTGTCGGATCTGCATTTTCAGTAGATCATATGGACTGATGGGAATTACGTTGTTATTATACGGACTGCTTTTGCTAACTCTCGGACCTCTTTCTAGGCCGGTCTTGTTGCGCCCAAACCTACTACTTTTGACAAAGCTTGATTCAGCTTGTCTGACTACTGTCTGCCTGGGTGGCTTGTGGCATGCTTGACCTCTATGTGGCTTTCCAAGGTTCTCCTCCCCGACATTCTTTGTGTACTCGGCCAGGCAACATCCGAGAACCCTAGAAAGGTCAAGGCATGGCACCATCAATGACGGGTCGGAAGTCGCGCTGTGTTTCTTTTATTGTTTCCTGATTTTGCTGGCATTTTTGGCGTTATTGAGTTGCCTTGTGGGAAACCCTGTATATTATGTGGCAGCCTGACTGCTCTGACTCTACGCGGTAGATGAGCCGCAGCATGAATATCTATTGATACGACTTGACTTTGTGCTCTATGGCGAAGACCACGTGTTGCCTACACAGGTAGGCACGTACTCCGTACCGAGGTAGGCTATGCGTTACAAGCATACTTGCCTATAAACTGCTCATATATGCCTACATTGTAGAGTCATGAGGTAGACAGATGCTACCAAACCCTACTCAAATGAAGTAAATTTTAAAATGCATCGTAAGATACCCTTGGAAGCCGATCGCATTTGTCAGTACTGAAAGCCAAAACATTTGACGCGGCTATGACCAGTTCAGGCACACGTTCTGGAGAAGGAGTGATAATAAAACCCCCTAAGCAGTAGCTTCTCTCCACGGCCCAACCAAATGAGCCAACGCCCCCTCGATAAGTCGAAGTCATTTCCCCGTGGCAGCCAATCCCATGTGTTGCCGGGGTTGAACTCGTGGCAATTGGTCAGTGACCCTGGAGGATCGCCAGTTTTTGACTTTTTAAATTCCATGGACGTGTGCGATGACCTTGTATTAGTTATAAAATGGTGTAAAGGACAATATAGGACATATGGAATATGAGGTATTCAATATTAAGCCGTTGGCTCTTACGATCTAGGCTGGTTAACGGCAGTTGTAAATGTACAATATGTATTCAACCTTGGAAGGGTTCGTCCAATAAACTGTCCTAGAGGTATTGTATGGATTTGATACCGGGTAGGGATTACCTCTTCTGCCGAGTCTACAACAGTCTTTCAAGTAAAACTAAAACATCCCTGTGATATATGTGAGCTTCATTTCATTGAGCCCCAATCGCGTGCAGAGCCGGGGTACGGCAAGCCGCATAGGCACTTACTTGCATGGCCGGTGCTTTTCCAGAAGAGACAGATTCATGATCCACCCGTCGATCTTCTAATATATATGTACGGAGTATGGAGTATGGAGTAGTACATATAGAAACAGAAAACAAAGAAACACAAAAAAAAACAGAAAAACAGAAAACAGAAAAAGAACAAAAACCGGGGGACATTCCACAATCACCTCAAGTCACCTCGGGGCACGCACTTGGCATCTCTCTGCATGCGGTCAGTTTCCAGGGCCAAGGTGTAAGATTGGGTAAAATTAGTGTAAACTAGTGTAATATTATGGCCATGTACTGTCATATACCTAAAGGTACATCCATTAATAGTATGATCCACATATAAACCCCTGTACCTCCACTGTCACATACCTGTTCCCAATTGAGTCGCGTCGTGAAGGGCAGATCCATGGATCTGGCACTTGTGGACTGGCACTCGACCGTTCCGGACTCTTTTCTTCCCCCCCTCCCCTGCACTCTCTCTCTCTCCTTCATCCCCTCCTTTCAAACCTTTTTCCCTTTTGCATCCATCTCACCCATTCTTGTCAATTTCCATCCTTATCTCAATCGTTTTCAAAGCGCTCATAGTCCAACTGTCGCAAATCCGATGAGACACTATCCGAGTACACTCGACTTTCGACCGAATCGCTAATCGCCTTCGCCTTCGCCTTTTCATTTCTATCGTTGCATCGCGTTTGGTGTACGATCTCTTGTCGCATTATCGATCACTGCTCAGAACTCCAACTTTCCGACTCCCGCGACTCCTTTTTTTCCTACCTGGACTATCTTCCCCTGTGTGATCGCGAACCCCCGAAAGGCGAAAAAAAAAATTCGAAAAATTCATATCTCGTGGAGGGATGAGCGGCAGCTCTAGCCAGTCTACTCGTACGAGTCCCGGCTCTTTTGGAACTATACAGCTCACAGAGTCCGTGTCATCTGGTTCGCCCCCACAGCAGTCACTCTCTTCTTCGCAGGTGCCTTTGACGGCTCAGCATGCGATGTCGACCGACGTGTATAGTCCAAATGCGTCGCAAGCGCCTTCATCTATGAACCCATCTTTCACATACCCCTTTTCCCCTATCGGTACAACAGCTTCATTCGATAACAACATGCGCTTGGGCGATAACGATCGCAACCTCCAGGGCCTGAATGGCCTGAATCGCGGAAACGGAGGCGCGATTCTCATGCGCAAACTGCCGCGAAACACCAGCCGCGAAGCCCTGCGCAGCATGCTTCTTTTCGCCAAAGACTTTGTTGATGCGGACTTTGTGACCTTGGACCTGCCAGAGGATGACGGGTTCTTGACCGCGATCGCGCGATTCATGACTTTGCCAGCTGCTGAAGAGGCCAGATCCCTTCTTGATGGCAAACCGAACTCCAAAAATGACGCCAACATGGTTGTCGAGATGTACCCCAGTCCGATGGCAGCGAATCTGTCGAACACGCGCCGTAACACCATCGATCACACCGCGAGTCGTGCGTTAATGGGTGCCTCGAACGGTCCCCTCGCGCGTCAATCGTCGCGCTTCAACGGCACTTTCCAAAGCTTAGAGAGGCTCTCCAACGCCAACCCCAACCAGCCTATCGGCGAAGGACTTCCTCCGACCTCTGAATCAGGCTCGCGTATGCACAGCCTTTTCTCTCCACAATCTCCGATCGGAAATGGCATTGATAACCTCCCACGTATAACCGGAAAGTCTATGATTGACGAAGACCCGGACGAGGAGACGGGCGAGCTGCTCAAGGATCCGGTAGGCTATGCAGAGAATGGCCATTCTACCAATATCTCCGCAGGGCGCCGGGCCACCAACCCACAAATCCCGACCAACCGCTTTGCCAATATGTCCCTTTCGACCAACATGTCCTCGCCGCCTTTGCAGAACTATCCCGGGGGTGGCGCACAGCGCATGGGCGGTGGAACACCGACGTCTGCGTACCCGAACCAAGGCCATAGCTTCCCATACAACGCTCAGCACACACCACGCCACAGCCTCCCTGCTGCGAACCCGAATGACCTGAATCCTCCTTGCAACACTCTATACGTGGGCAATTTGCCACCCGACACTTCCGAAGAGGAACTTAAAGCCCTTTTCTCCAAACAACGCGGGTACAAGCGACTCTGTTTCCGAAACAAGCAGAACGGCCCCATGTGCTTTGTAGAATTCGACGAGGTCGCCATGGCCAGCAAAGCCCTTAATGAGCTGTACGGCTACAAGCTATCGAACAGTGTCAAGACTGGCATCCGTCTCAGCTTCTCAAAGAATCCTCTGGGTGTGCGCTCTGGTCAACCCGGCAGCATGAACTCGTCCAACGCGACCTCTGGACAGGGCCCAGTTCCTGGAGGCAGCAGCTTGAGTGGAATCCACAACAACATGTTCTCGGCTGTCAACGGTCCCCCTCCTGGACTGGCAGCACCACCTGGTCTTGGCATGCCCATGCCTGCGCCGCCGATGCGCAATGGCACCTCCATGCACACCCCGATCAATCCGCATGCTGGAATGATTGGCAATGCCGCATACAACCCCAACTCGGGCCTGGGGATCCGAAACGGAGCCAATTCGATGATGTCGCCGCCGCCCCCTTCTAATCCCGGCGGCAACAACAATGCGGCACCGAACCTGAACGGCTATAATTCCTTTTACCCTGACTACATGATGGGCCGCTAAGCCCATTCAAGCGTTATATTAAGATAATGCCCGGCATGTTTGAACGAACTGGGATATCTGGCGCATTTGGGGATCTTCGTTTCGTGAGCTAGATCAGCATTCGGCGGCTGCATAACTCTCGGGAGTATTGTTTCGGATTTGCTTTTCTGTTTTTTTTTGCTCCCCTTCTTTTTCTGCCAGTCTTTTTCTTGGCTTTTCATCTTTCAGTTGCATGGGAACCTGGGCGCTCTTACATTCCTTTTTTTGTTATCTTTTTTTCATTGGGAGGATTGCATTTCAGGTCATTGCCAAACTTGTATTCTTATCTGGTCGGTGCGAGGCGCTCGAGAGCGCGTTTGTTTCTGTCGCCCATTGCGTTTTGTTCACACCTTCATACCCTCGTGATTTCTTGCTTTCGTTCTTGATTATCTCGCTCGTTTATCCTGACTCAATAGGCAATGCACACAAATGCGTGTTCGTTGTCTCTGCCCTAATCAGGATCTATATGAGCTGTTATCTACTCTATTCCACGTGATTCCCCCTGTTTGCTACATCTATCCCCTGGATCTTTCTCGATGCATCGTCTGCGTGGATCGGAAAGGATTTTGCTGATTTACTTGCTTTCTCTATTGCAATGTGTGTTTATTTCTATGCAAGTACGAAAAAAGAAGGGTCTTATGTGGCTTTCTTTAGCTTCTCTTCTAATATCTCTCTACTCAATGGCATGAGCTACGAAAGGATATGACATCGGCTCACGTCGACCACATATTGTCCCAGGCGTTCGCGTTGGTTTTATTTCTCTCCCGCCATATTCCTCACATCCCGGCGGAGACGAAGGCGTCTGGCCCATGCATTTTGCTCGAAAGCTCTTCTCTCATCTTGCTTGCATTGCCACTCGTTTTGCTTTGGGTCTGGCTTACTCTGATTTTCCAGAAGAATGAGGAAATGAGGCGTGTCTATTATTTTTTTTAACTCTTCCTCTAACCCCGTCTTGCTTGGGGGTATGATACCGATACATTTGCTTCGATCTGTACTTGATACAATGAACTGGGTCCAGTCACCCTGGAGAACGGACCCATTTAATCCATTTATAATGATATTAAGGTCTAGTAACGAGCTATCATGAGACTTTTTTACGTCCTTTTGAGCGACTCTTCATATTTTATAGTATCTGTCGAACGAATCCTGCAAGACGTCTGCTGTAAGAATAAATATACTCAGCATTAAATGTCGAATAGCTATTATTATGTTGTGAGTCCCAATATAAGGAATGGAACGGAACCTTGGAAGATGTTTACTTCGGCTGTATACAGTGGAGATTGGATCACGTGATGGCACTACCGAGAAGTTTCTTCCCCTGCAGACACCTACACCTCCCGCTCCAACCCGGCAACCTCCCATCTTCAATTATTGCTGCAAAAGGGTCAATGGCAGCTGGAACTCCTTGATTCTTAATATCTAGCGCCTTTCATAAGCTTGACATTAGACTCGTCCTCCCATTACCCCATCATATCCTCCAAGATGCCACCCCGGATACAGAGCCGTGTGTCCAACACCCTTCTTCCCTACCTCACAGCTACCTCCTCTTCCTCATCATCACTTTCCTCTCTTCCTTCATTATCCTCTAAATCATCACAATGCATTTCCCGTCAGTTCTCTGCCACGGCAGCACCACAGGCACAGACCAAGCTCCGTCGGCAGATGTTCGAATGGCTTGAAAATGAGGGAGCCGTTCTCAAGCACCATATTCCTGGAGAAACCAACTATGTTACTCGCTTAAAGCAGCGAGGTAACGAGGGTACAGAGAAGCCTCGTCCCTTCCCAAACAACCAAAATTTCTTCAGCGAGCCTGTCCTCAGTGAGGAGCTACGGAATGAGGTCTATAACCGCGTCGTTGAACAGAAGAAGAGCCCCCGCGTGGTTAGCGTGGAGCTTGGAATCGATATGAAGCGTATTGCTGCTGTCGTGAGATTGGTAGAATTGGAGAATAGGCAGCGCGCACAGGTAAGAACATCTCTCCTTTCCGCTTTTTTTCCGCCTTTCCTTTCGGACTTTGCTTCGACCCTCCACGCATATGATGAGTCACAAAAAATCGATTAGTCTTGAAGACACCCACATGGTTAAACCTTACTTTTTGAACTGAACTGTGTTACCCTTACATTTTGAATTCCTATCAAGTTTTATTTGGTCGCGTGACAAGAACTGACGAATCTTGAATTAGGGTAAACCCCTAGCACTGCCATATGCCCGGGCCATCCACGAGATGGTCCCCATCACACCCCTCGCTGAGAAAGGCGAGCGTCAATCATACCACGAACCCATCAACGATCTCCCGGCCCACCCCCTGACAGGCTCCCAAATCTTCTACCCAGTCCCCGAATCCCGCTCCTTCAACCGTGTTGAGGCGGGTCGCGTCTTCTCCGGCGCCCCAGCAATGGAGCACTCCGAGGCCGCGGAAATCTCACACCCCTCCGATCTCACCGAAAAGATCATCGAGGACCCCAACTCCATCGCCTGGGTCGGAAAGGGTGCCAATGCCCGCCAGATCCTGCAGCCTGCTGACGTGCGCATTCCTCACCCTCATCTGGTTGCTTTGGAACGTGACCGCCTGGCGAACCCCAACGAGCGTCGGGCTGTTTCGGACCTCCAATCCAAGAGACTCCAGCGCCAGGATGCGATTGAGAAAGAGCGTCGTGAACGCATCCAGGCTCGCCGTGAGAAGAAGCTGACTGTTGTCACCCCCGAGGAGTCGCGCTTCGATTACCGTATCAAGGATACTATCTACACTACGGAAACCACTGGCGCCGATGGCCGTGGTTCCAAGGCTGTTGGTCGTCGCTACGGTGTCCCCCACCGCGACCGCACACGCGGCGAAGTCAAGATTCCAACCAGTGTGGAGGCTTGATTTTGAGATGGTCCCGGCAGGGGCTGTTTCTTTGTTCTTTTTCTTGTGTTTTTCAGCAACTTTCTCGGCTACGGCCTTTGTAATTTTACTTGTACGCATACTCATCCATGGATGTATGAAGGAGGCTTTCGCTTATGTAACTATATACCGGATAATGCCTGGAAACTTGAAATCTTTTCCTTTCTATTTTTGTGCTCATCTCTTGCCTCTTACTTCCCGTGTGGATGGTCTTCCTAGATATTCCTATCCTTATCAGTGCTATAGCTGGAAGGACAGGAAGAATTGACCACGAAATATGGAGTGTATGCGGTGAAAAACATGTACAAAATATATACCATGTGCTTGTATGGCTAATAGAACTTGAGATATATAACATCCAAGGCATAGGTCCCCTCGTAAAGTATTCCTTTTTCAATTTCTATTGCACGTATTAGCTTCATCTCTTCCTATCCAGCATATTAATCAGCCTTTTACAAGGAGATACTCTCTCCCCCATATTAAATGAAACCTCTCGTATGATAATACTATCACCATCAACCTGGAAGACCAGGTAAAAGCTCCCAAGAACGTGACCGACTGTAGTTCCTCCAACAAATATGCGGCTTCGCTTCATACAAGCCCGCAAAACTCTTGACACGCCTCAGATGATGCTTCCCAGGAGCGTTTTCTTTTGATTCTATAATCGCCTTGTCGAGAATCACGCCACCACCGATATTCCTCAGACGCGTTTCAAGATCAGCGAGTTCCTCCCTAGCCTCTCGCTCGTCCATCTCATATCCATCCTTTTCATCTTCGTCTTCATCTTCATCTTCATCTTCGTCTTCATCTTCGTCCGGAATCCACCGCTCACTACCTTCACGCAAATACATTGTCCTGTTTGCCTTTATGGCTCTCGCCACGTGCGTGCAAGCTGTTTCGAGATAGAATAGTCTCATCTCGTCTTCAGCAGAGGCAATATTCACCAAGTGTACAGCATCTTTAACATGCTCCTTCGCAAAGAAGATATCCGCAAAGTCCATTTCTTCATCCGAGTTGCCACAACACTCACATATGCAGTTGGCATAGGCCATAGCAATGAGAAGCTTCCGCTGATGGAACCTCCCGTTGTGTAATGCAATATCGCTCAACATAATTAGGCCTTGGTAAAAACCGTGGCTAGGATTGGCGAAGCACCGTGCTGCAGCATCGTCCCATAGTAGCTCCGCTGCTGAACGACTCCCAGCCTTGAGAGAGAGCCCTGCAAGGGTTCTATACAATTCAACGGCCTGCCATAGCCCGCCGTTTGTACTGAGAATCGTGTCGATGGCTTTGAGAAAGGGCAACACCATTTGACCACGGAATGAAGGGACGTGATGGCCGTCAACATAAAAAGCCATATCTCTCCACCAGTCTGCTTCTGCTACTAGATATTCGTGTGTTTGGTATGCCTTTAGAAGCGAAAAGCAGTGCAATATCTCTTTGTAGTTAGATCCAACGAATCCGACTTGCTGCAACTTGCTGACTAGGGGTTCGAGGTTGCGGAATCCCTTTGGTGCTATTTCTTTGTCCTCAAGTGATATTTTGTGCATCTCTAAGAACTTCAGGCACACTAACACAGATCGCTCGTATTCACCGATAAAAGCCAAGTCAATTGCTAGGTCATCGAGATCCCACAGGAAAGCGTGGCCTTCTTTGTTGACATCCAAGAGACAAGCATCATCTGCGGACTGACAGTACAATGTCATAGCTTCACCCATATTGCCTAATGCAGCAGAAGAAGCTGCGGCATATCGTTGAGTTTGTCGCCGCAAATGTATCTCATTCTTCTCCAAATGTTTTCTTTTACTGCAGCTCTCCAGGAATTTTAGGAGCTTTCGGCTGACAATAAGGCATTCACTTGGCTTGTTTAAAGAGAAAAGGATGTGTTGCTGGGTCTTGAGGCTCCATCGGACTGCCTTATTCGGCTTCGACCCCGTGCTCTCCCATACAGCCATGACTTGAGTCATCACATTTGCTGCATCTGTCAAGTTATTCGCCGAATAATATTCATCAGCGACCATTGTCAGTGCGTCCATCCTTAAACCGACTCCATCTCGAGTGCTGCAGAAAAATTCCCACAGCCGGCTTTCACTCTTATCACGGTCTTTCCCCGTAAGACTCCCCAAATCAAGTAAAATTGCCCTGGCATCATCGTGTTTCTCTTGTCGTATCAAGAGGCGCACGAGGTTTGTGTACGCAAAAATGTTTATCAGGTAGATTTGTGGTTGTGGACGGAGTCGCTGGGCGATCTGAATGCATCTGCGGAGTAGCTCTATTGCTTTCTCATCTTTTTCGGGCGTGACTTGGTACATCGCAGCTCCCAACTCCGCCAAGCTTAAGGATTCCCACTGATTACCTGTATTTGCAGTCTTTTGGGCTGCAATTGATGCCAGTCTCTCTGCCGAACAAAATTCTCCTTCGTAGTATGCCTTTCTCACCATGAGGAGCAGCACGGGGACGGGTAATGATGCTAAAGAAAGAGATACAACGTCAGCCATATTTCCGATGCCATGAAAAATGTTCGTGGCGGCATAGAGGCCCTTCGACAGCGTATCGACAGCATTGCCATGAGTCCTGGTCATGTATTGAGGCAAGGCCGCTAGGGATGGTCCCCCTCCCTCTCTGGCGACTATGTTCTTGCTGTTGTGGAAAATAGCGTTGGTAAAGGAATCTTTAGTAATAGAAAACACGTTGTAGGCAGAGGAGTTGTCGGTGATAGACTGGAATTCGGAATCGGTCCAATTTGGACCGGACATCAGCATAAAGATTGATGGAGATTGCCATGACTGGTAGCGGCCATCGTGAGCTCCAAAGCACTGCATCCGACGCTGAAGTTCTTTTTCGTACACTTCTTTTAGGCCCAGTGTCTCCCATGGGAATTCGACACACATTAGTTCAGTCCAGTGGCCAATTTCATTGTTCTCAGGAGTGCGCTGGAAAATGACGACCAGATACTCAATCAAAGCACAAAACTGAGGTGTTCTCATAAACTGCAACACATTTGACTGTGCCCAGCTAGTAAGCCCAGTCTCTATGACCCGAGAGAAATAGTAAGGGAGTAATTCTGTTGCGTAGGAAAAAAAAGGATACCTCGATGGTAATGTTAAGGCCCCATCATCCGTTAACGGATACCCCAGGTCCAGTAACTCGATATAGTTGAAACATGCAGAGCACATGGATAGCTGAGCTTGTGCATTGTCCACTCGAAAGTAGACTATATCCGAATCTTCGGCATGCCACTCACTTTCCGGCCGGGTAAAGAAGTCCGCCACCGAGTTGTGGATGAGATGGTATCGCCCTTCGGTAAGGCGAACAAATTCGCCGCAGGCATCTATGATGCCGTCCACTGATATCAAATCATCCTCAATTCTCCCCCCTCGATTCACATGGGCGGCATATGCATAACATAGTTCATCGGCCGTCAACGGCTCTGGGGAAGCAAAAATGGAGAATAATAGAAGTCGGGCTCGTTTCATTGAAGTTGATGGCTTCGTAGGGGTGCCTCCTGTCTTGGTCATCTGCTGTAGGAGCAAACGATGATACTGGCGGTCGAGGTCGCGGGGGACTTGGTTGAGAGTACTCCTTATCTCTTCCACGCTGAAGCACCGCCTGAGTTCTTTCGAAATAAGGGTCGTCCAGAGAAACATGACCTGGGACTTTTGTTCAAGACTCTTTTGCGCCATTGCTTTTATCTCCAGTGTTTGGATTGTGAGTGCACTATCCAACTCAGCAGCGATGAGTTTGTTTATGTCACCTCGGGTGAGATTCTCAATTAGCTCCAACTTAGGCGATGATCCCTTTAGAAGCGTGCGCATGGAGGCTTCACGGCCAGACATAAGCAAGTATAGCCTCGGGTGACTTTTGAGAATATCGAGAACAGTCCGCAGAGATCCATCGCGGTGACTATTCCAATCGTCCGTCGACTCGTCAATTCCGTCAATGATGCAGTATAGATCGGACTTGACAAGCCCCAAGACCCCTTGAATTGCCTTGAAGACGTTACTTTCATTGATACTGGCTTCGTTGATTAACGATCTTGTCAGCTGTCGAGTTTCACTCTCTGGGAGGCAACTCAATAATTGCCATAAGAGGGTGCGTAAGAAGTCCAATAACTTCCGCTGTGTCTCGCTCCCTGACCAGAACGAGAAGTGTGAGGCAATTTTGCCTCGGTCACGCAAATCTTCGGCGATAGACTTCACCAAGACTGATTTACCGCATCCTTTAACGCCGTGAAGGCAGAGTATCCGGCTCATATCGTCCCTTGGTGCTGATGCTTGATCATCTAGCCATTTGCTGAATGTATCATGCGACCAAATCCATTCACAAGTGTGTTCAAGCCTCTTGGGAATAAAACTATCCCCCGATGGTCGCAGAAGAGCACGCAACTTCAATCGTAATTCATCAGAGGAGATATCTAACAGTTCTAAACCATACTCAGTACTTTGATAGATTATAAAGCCACGAGAGACTTACCTTCGGATACCTTATCATTGTGATGAGCGATGATTAACGTGAGCGATGTCTTGAGCTGCGATAGAGAAACAAGTGACCCCTTTAGTGTCTTGTCCAGCCCAGTAGACAAGAGCATAGCTTTTCTAAAGAACCCTCGGGGTTCTTTCGCGGTCTTACTCTGTAGGGTAGCTTGGAGGGAGGAAAGCTCAGTTTTCAGCTGGGTAAAGATGGGCGAAAGTCCCTGGAGCTGAGACAGACTGAGAGGACTCTCTTTCCACCTATGTTGCACATCTTTCAGAATCGATTCGATGTCTCGAAGCTGTAAAATCAACTCTGCGGCTGCCTTTGCCGCATGTTTCTTCTTTGAGAATCCTCGAATAGCGGTAGTCAGCCACCGAACCATCTGAAGCAGGCTGGGGATTGCCCCGATGACCCCGACGACCTCCATGGCCTATCGAGATGCGTCCGAGTTCAAGATTTGGGAAAGTATTTAAATTTAGTATATATCCACGGGTGTAGATCTATCTATGTGTCAGGATTCTTTTTCAGCTGGGGGAAAGGTGAGAGGCTAATATCACCCAGGCGCATAATAGCTAAGCCACTGACGCGAGTCACGAGTGTTTTATACACCTGCAGTTTTACTATATACAGTTCAAACTGTAACTAATTCTCACTATCGGAGCTCTGAATGGATGAATTCTCAGCCGTTTACTTAAAATCTACGTGTCATAGTAAACAAGCGTGTTTATACATTTTACACCTCTTCACTGCCATGTTTTGTGGCTAACACTGATAACGGGGAAATAAGAGGTCGAAAAAGAATGTCTGAAAAGACTACTAGAAAAGAAAGATTACAGGATAAATTATATATTATAAACACCAACGAAATAGAGATAGTAAGCGGTTAGTTTACAACTAGAATATGAGGACCTGTGAAAATGACGCCGAAAATGACGCCGAAAATGACCACTTTTGGCCCTAGAAACAACCGCCTTTCCACCCGTACGGCCGTGATATTTGGCGCCCGTTTAATAGTTCTGCCCTTGGATTTCACCTACCACTAAAATGACGCCGAAAATGGCTCCCTTTTACAGTCCCGCCTAGGCGCCCTCGCTTTTCGTTTTACCTAGCCGGGCGCCTATAAGATACTAGATATTTTCCCTTGAGCGTTTGGATCGCTGTGGTTTTTCTTTTCTGCAGCCTCTATTATATGCTCGAGAAAGTTGATTTTCCCTCTAGGTGTCTATTCTACGTGCACTTGCCAACTTGGTCGTGAATGCCGTCCAGGTTCTATGCGGCTCTTGGGACAGTATGTCACCCTGATCAGTATTTTAGCGGCGATACTAAAGGTCCAGATCCTCTCCTTCAGCGTTATATATAACTGAAGTATATTTATGGCACCTTGCTTGGCAGATCTGCATAAGAAAAAAAAAAGGGAAGAACTGAAGGGCAAAGAAATGAGGACAATGCTTGAAGATAAAAGGCCCCTAAATCGAAGCAAATAAATGACCAACGCTTTAGTGAGAGATAATACAGACATCATAGGATTTGAACTATGTCTGGATATTATCATCAACATTCTTCGATAGGTTTGTTCATCAAAAAAGCGAAAGTAACAATTGTCTTGCAAATGGCACAGAGGATAATCGCAAATGTGGAGTTGATAGCTGCTTGCGCAAAAGCTCCAACAAAACAACCCGCTATCAACATCAAAAGAAATACGACTCGTCGATTGCGCTGGCGATTCTGAATCTTCAGTATGCCCGGATCGGCTACAACATCTATAAAAGCTGCTGTAGCCATCGCCGTAGTAATATCCGTGATTTTGAGCGACCGGCCCAGGGCAACTTGTGCCCCCGAGGAAAAGGCCAAGAGGAAAATGCCGGCTAGGGCTGCTGGGCTGCCGCGCTGAATTGGCAGGCTGTACTGTATTGCGGCCGCTGCATAGATCAGTGCCGTTTGGAATGCACTGCTCGTAATCAGCCAGAGTCGCTTTCGAACGCCGAAGAAATTCCCGATTTGGCCAACAGCCCATCCACCCGCGAGGAATGCGCCGAGACTCATACCCACGTGAGACAAGTTATAAGCGCTGCCTTCGAGTTTCCCAGCCCCAATGGCGAGGAAAAGAGCATTCCCGGTCTGATTGGATGCGAAACAACCATAGTCAGACCATGAAGCAGCATCCTGAATTCCTGTGGCGAATGAAAGTAGGACTAGCTCGCTTTCTAGCAATAGATCCTCTCGAATATCGTCGGTCAGGTAAGGCCACACTTTGGGGGTTGGCGTGGAACTGCTCGCTATACAAGGCGTAGGTAGATTGGAGCTAGTATCCCCTACAGGATGCAGAATTCCTGAGTAATGTGTTCCTACTTGAGGTGGTTGCGGAGTCTCTTACCTAGGCATTTCATCTTTCCTTATATCAATCGTTGAAAAAACAATGGAAGTCCAGTTTATCTTGATCACCGACCCCAATGGAATCCTTTCCAGTACGTATGTTCCAGGGAAAAGCTGGAATACCAATATGATATTCGATTGATAGGAGTCCAAAATTTCCCGCTTTTAACTTCTACTACTCGCCTAGATTGACAGCACTAGTTTCATTGTACCGGGGTTTAATTTGCCAAGTCCACTCGGGGACTGAGTTTAGTTGTCCGAAGAATATTGTCATATGAGGCTTAGTTTAGACCTTCCACGAACTGTGCAGCCTGAGACAATGTTTAAGGTCCTCAACCACTGGTGACGCTGTATTTTCTACCAAAATACGCGTGTATTCGGCGGGCCACAGTGAATTTGGGTTTTCAACGATAGATTTTGAAAATCTTTCCAATTAGAACACTTCAAGGTCTATGTTTGGCTGCGAGGATAGCACATGATGATCATGCAATACCAGTTATGGGAGATATAGGCTTTGATATGGACTGAATTCATATGCGTGCTATATCAATGTACGATGCCGTGGTTCTCAAGAAAGCAAACAATTTTTGGGTCCCCTTGACATTATGTAACCTTTCAACATTCCTCAACCATTAGCATACCAGCCCACTCTCCTTTCAGCAAGCGAGATGAGGGTTCACTCTGACTTGAGTGTGATTCCAAAGACACCAAGAGAGCCACATGTGATCAGGAGAGGTCCCCAGATGGCAGGGACATATCGTCCTAGCAACAAATTTCTTCGAACGGAAACATATCGAGCAATAGAATAACCAAAAGACCACATGCTGATCGCCTGGCAAATGCGGCTGGCCACAAGATCATTCCTATACCCAAGCAGACACGATGTTTGTTCAGCCACTGAAGACTGTGCTGTGTTTGAGTGGTTTCTAGAGACAACTTCCATAGATGTCGCGGGGGTCGTGGTTGCCTCCTCACTATGTTTGCGGTTGAGAACATTGTCTATGAAATCGAGTCGAGTCAGAGCAAGCGACATGGCGGCAAAAGCTAGCCCCATACGATTCCAAGATAGAAAAGTGCGCTCGTTGGCCTGGTGATCGCGCAGTTGCGACCCATTGTTGGCTACCGGCCTAGGTAATAAGCGACGAAATAAGGGGAAGAGCATTATGTGAGAATCTTGGTTGTGCTGTAGCTTCTCGTGATCCAAGGGGATATGGTGGAATGGCTTTCTTGTCTATGGGTACAATAACGTGAAAGCGCGAGGAAAGCCGATGGAGTGGAGCATGTCAATGGGAATAAGTACTCATCTCAACTTTTCATATCATCGGCGCTCAAAACTCAAAAAGGATTCTCGCTGAATGAACGCCGACCCATACGCCAAACGCCGAACAAATAACTTAGGTTCCGGGGACCGACTTTGAAGCCCGCCCGATACGTGAAGTTCCCGAGAATTGAAGTCCCCGAACGCCTTGTTTGATATTAATTTTTGTCTCAGTTGCCCCGATGATAACGTTTTGATTTTCTTTAGCGGAAACCATAGTTGAAACAATATAAAATGTTAAATATATAATAAGCCTGATCAGAGAATCCACTCCATTCATTGTTCACAACGAATTCTTCCAGCAGCCTTTATATTGCGTCTGCTGCTCTCTATCTCTTGCAGGTCCTAGAAATGATTCCTCGAACACTTACGGTAGCGGCTTTTGTTCCACGGCCCTCAGCACTGAGCTATTCAACATCTCGAGGTTACGCCAAAGTCTCATTGAAAAGTACTATCGGCCACCAGCACCGCATTGCCGTGGTTGGAGCTGGTTCGGCTGGCCTTGCAATCAGTCATCAGCTCCTTCGGTCTGGCAAATTCTCCAAGAACGATATCGCAATCATCGACCCATCAACAACGCATGACTACCAGCCTGGGTGGACCCTGGTCGGCGGAGGTCTGAAAAACAAAAGCGATCTCCGCAAGCCACTGACCAGCTTACTCGACCCTGCCATCAAATTTTACAACGAAGGTGTGAGCTCATTTTCTCCAGCAGAAAATTCGGTCACACTGGGAGACGGCAGCGAGATTAGCTACGAGCACCTGGTCGTCGTGCCTGGCATCAAAATCAACTATGACAGCATCGAGGGCTTGCCCGAGGCTCTTGCCAACCCTGAATCTCTCGTATCCACCATTTACGGCTATGAAACCTGTGACAAAGTTTTCAACTCGATCCAGAAATTCCGAAAGGGCAACGCGATTTTCACTCAACCTACTGGCATTGTCAAGTGTGCAGGGGCACCACAGAAGGCTATGTGGCTCGCTTTGGATCATTGGAAGCGAGCCGGGGTTTACAACCCCTCAAGCCACATTTCATCGCCGATCAAGATAAGCTTCGCAACGGGCTTACCGGCCATGTTCGGTATACCTAAGTATAGTGCCAAACTGGAAGAATTACGCCAGCAAAGGGGCGTGGAAGGGCTGTTTCAGCATGACCTAGTTGCTATCCAGGGCAATACTGCGGTCTTTTCCTCTCCAGATGGAAAGGAACAGAGGAAGCAGTTTGATTTTTTGCATGTCGTGCCCAAAATGGGTCCTCATCTCTTCGTCAAGAACAGCCCCTTGGCAAACGAGGCTGGCTTGGTGGATGTCGATGAGTTCACCACTCGCCACAAAACTTATCACAATGTATGGTCTGCCGGTGATGCCTCTAGTCTGCCGACATCAAAGACGACCGCAGCAATCACGTCGCAAGCGCCGACCCTCGTCGACAATCTCCTCTTGGCATTGGAGAAGAAACCACCCCAGGCCACCTACGATGGTTATACCTCTTGTCCGCTAGTCACGGAGTACGGGAAAGTTCTTCTCGCCGAGTTCAAGTATGGTGGAGTGCCAAAGGAGACGTTCAGCATGCTTGGAATCGACCAGGCAGTACCCCGACGCGCATTTTACCATCTGAAAAAAGATTTCTTTCCATGGGTTTACTATAAAGCCATGGTTAAAGGCACTTGGGGCGGACCCAAAGGATGGATTCGCAAGCGTTGAGGGTGTGAAGTCCAGCTTTCTCATGGAAGCTTGTCAAGATATTTAGTTAATATCATAAGCCGATGTCAAGAATTTCACTGCCCAGCACGTTTGTGTTATTGAAGAATGGATTTTCCCTTGAATGCGGTGAGTGTTCAGTCTAACGCTCTGCATCCTATGGAATTAGGGAAACGCACGGGCTTCAGACTGTCGCCGCCGTGCGAAACATTTGGTGGCCACTAGGAACTCATTGGAGCTGTTCCCTGACATTTCCCTCTAGAACTATTATGCATTGCCCTGCAATTGTCTTATGATGGCCTAGGAAGCTATGGGCTTGCTCTTCAAGTCGGCGTTTACTTGCGGATAGCAATCGAATAGAATTTTTAGTAGTATATCCCAATTTCGAATAAATCAAAAACTTGCATTAATATACTGTCAGAAGAATATATGTATACCTTGGTCACTAATGTATTAAATTTCCCGAAACTCCTGAAATTAGATAGATTTCATATAAAATGTATTAGGCTATAAGAAAAATCTCATATAGACAACCGTTGCCGCAATATCATGTTGTAATTTATCCCTTTTACTACGTGATTTGGGGTGGACCACTCGGTAGTGAAATACGTTACTTATTGAAGGTTATGTGACAGCGTATTGGGGCGCTAAACACAAAGACACAAAACTAACCGCATGTAGTGATTCACAGGTCTGACATTAGTGCAGCCACAGTGGGGGGTGGTCATATCAATCCACTACTACTACTACTTATATTCCTAAACCAATAAATAATTCGTCAACATCATATGTCATTCATTCCAAGGCTAGTCCTGCAAGCCCTTAGAAACAAAAGAAGAAACCCGAAAATACGAAAACCCCGAGATATCAAAATCACAATGCACAGCGCCTCGTCGAGAAAAAAGAGCACGAGACATGTCCAGCAGTCCCACCATTCTATTCAACACCCTTCCATTGCTATCTTTCCATTCCTCTCATTCTCCGCAGTTAAACAGGTGGTCACATGGTCAACTCTCAACGAGCCTCCCCGACAGACCGACAGCGTCGCCTCTTCGTCCCAACCCATCCAGAGATCGCATCGGTCTCAGAATCATCTTCCTGAGAGGAAGTTTGGAAAATGGACCCGATTGAGGCGAGGGCACTTTGGAGCCATGAAGTTGTAGTTGGGGAGGCTGGGGATGATGATGTAGTTGGGGACTGCATAGTCGAGCTGGCTCAGCTGAGGGAGGGGTTGAGATAGCGAGATGCGGGGTATGTGGTTTGATGAGAGTAGATCTTATGGTAAATGGTATATGGTCTAGGAGATAATACTAGAAGATAGGCCAGTATTTAGGATGTATGTAGTATGTATGTAGGATGTACGTAGGATGTATGTAGGATGTAGCGTGTAAGATGTATGTAGAAAGTATGTAGAGGTTCGGGGGCACGGCATGGTATTTAAGGAATCAGACAATCCCATCACATGCAGGACAGTTCTCGTGGGAAAAGCAGACAAAGCCCATATCTAAATCACCTGCATAAGTACCCAAATCTGAACTTAATGGCATTTACTATCTTTTAAAAGCTTTTTAGGGTTACTCCTCGTACTACGGTCACGCTGCTCTCTCTTGATTGGTGCTTTGGTCACATTGTGCAGATCTATTAATTTGGACTTAAATATAGGGCTTGCGAATGTCTAATCCCCTTATTTGATTGGTTGCTAATGGACAAGTTCTTTACTTTTGAGAGACGTGGCATTTACCTTGGATCCGAGGGAATATGGAACCGAATACATTGTACATTACGTACAATGTAGGCCGTAGATGAGCTATTCGAGACATTTTCTTTGTCTCGCTCAGTGCTTCGGAGAATTTTGTGGACTTACTTTAATGGGGATACCTAGAAGAAGCCATAGATCGTACAACTTCAAAGAAAGGCTTCAGATAGACCAAGCAAATACTTTGAATACTATGGCTAGATATATCTGCATGAAATCATCACCTCTCAAAAATTGGTGAAATAAGTACAAAGTAGGAGGACACACCAGGCCTCCTTACTGGTAGTGGGAACAAACAAAGAAATGTATACAGTGAAAGACGGAGGCATGAGGACATCTCGTTCGTATATATGAGGATGTCCACTGCACGGAAGTTGTATGCAAAGAAAATACCGGGCGGTGGACAAAAAAAACCAGCCAGAGAAAAAAGAAAGTGCGTAGGCAGATGCGTATGCAGCCCAGAACAAGAAAATATATATCCATAGGGCCAAAAGAAAATCCCCAAGGGAAACCCTGTACTGGGTCCTCGAAGTGAAGTGCAAGCTACCATGACAAGAAGATGAAAGGATGAGATTGGAGGAAAAAGACACGTTGCTATACGGGGTATTCAATGGGAGAGACAAAAAGTCGAATCAAACAGATTGGGAAAAGACTATTGGAAGTGTGTAGGGACCGACCAACCAAGACAAGGTGACCCATCCAAAAACAAATCCGTTTTCATTCTTCCGGGGGCGCGGGCGTCTCATCACTGATTGGCGCTGCTTCTCCCGGTGTTGGAAACTGCGGACTCGAGAGCGAGTCTAAGCTGTCGGGACTGCCGCTACCCCATGAATCTTCCCGCATGATTTGCGCAACACCTGGCGGGCTTGGCTTAGCTTCGTGGTGATCGGACTTATTAGTGCGGGAGGCCGAGGGCGATGGGGGATCCACTTGTGGTGGTTCTTTACGGTGACCACCTTGCATCGGGCTGGCTGATGTATCAACAGCTGGCGAGGCGGGGCGAGGAGAGTCCAAGAACCCGCGCCATTTACGCCAGCCTTCAAAGTCAATCAGGGCTTGCATGCAGCCCCATTCTGTCACTTTCTGCTCAAGCCAAGGGAATCCAACGGGCTATTCGATAAATGTTAGCATACCGTTTGAGAAAAAAATGCTCACAATAGGGAGCGGGACGTACCTTGGTCAAGAAATCATTGCAGCCAGCAGCCAATGCCTCATGTCGGTCACTTTGCAGACTGCTAGCTGTCAATGCGACGATAATGACTGGACTCCGGAATAGTGAAAGATCTGGCAAAGTGTCCTCTTCACTGACCGTACGGTGAAGGCCTGGTCTTCTGTCCGCGGCAGAGGTATTCAACGCGCTGAAGCGGCCAGAGGCTGTTTTTGGGAAGACACCAATGCCGTTTAAGCGCTCCAGGCGCCGGATCTCCTTGGTCGCTTCCAGTCCGTTCATCACGGGAAGCTGGATGTCCATCAAAACCAAATGGAATCCACCTTGTCGCCATTTCCGCACTGCCTCTTCGCCGTTCATTGCGCATTTCCAGCGCACCTTCAACCTTTTCATGAAGGCCTCCAAAAGCTTCTGATTGATGATGTTGTCTTCCACGATGAGGACATTGATGGGCGGAACGGTGCCGTCAATCAACCCGCCAAACATAGCACCGGGAGAAGTGGCCGCCTTTGATTTTCGGACGACGCGTGGCGATGCAGTTGCCGGGGGAGTGTGTGATTTCACCTGCGGAGATTCTACCGGCGGTGCTGCCACCGGGGGTGTAGGCATTGCGGGAGCGGAGGGGGCCGGGATAGGTTGGGAATGAGGAGTAGCACCGGTTTCTATGGATGTCAGTGGCCATGTTGGGCAAAGGAAAGTTGTTTTAAAAACGTACCTGTTATGACAAGAGCTTGGGTGTTTTGGTTGTGAAGAATAGTAGGAGAATTGGTTTTGTGTCGTGTCAACGGAGGTCGTTGCTGGTGTCGTGCCCTGCGGCTTCCTGGGGATGGCAGTAAAGGAGCAACACCGGTGTTGAGAATGGAAATTGACGGCGCATTAGCTGGTATTGACGCAGCTCCCGAGTGTGAAGACGGTGTGCCCGCGTTCGCATTGACCGGTGGCATGAGAGGGAAGTAATCGCCATGCTCGCCGGGCTCCGAGTGGTGGTGTTGGTAAATCGAATGGCGCGGCGATGGCTTTGGGGTCCGGCGCGACGGAGCATCGATCACCAATGCTTCCTCGATTTTTTGTCCACCAGGGTAGTATGCATCGAGTATAGATGATAGGGCTTCCTCCGGGCTCAAGAGGCGCTCAGTGTGACCTGGTCGATTCGTACCTTCTCGTGGCGAGACCCGGATAGCAATATCGGGCGAGTCAAAGCTTCTCCCTAATGAGTTCCCGTATTTCATGATGACCTGGTCGCGTAGCTCATCTACCACCGCGTCCTCTCTGCACGGCACCAAGGTGGCCGAGCCACCGGGCCGTTTGACCCAAATCCGACGTGTAACCATCTCGCGAGGAATGAAGGGAGTGAAACCACTGTCCTGATCTCCCGAAGAGAAAAGACTTCCCTCCAGTAGCCCACTAATCAAGTGTTGGTGTGATGCTGGGAGAAGAGATTGACGACGGATCGCAAGGCTCGGGCGCTTGCTTGGGGGAGGGAAGTAGGAGGCAGAAGGTCGACGATCATTCGTAGGCCACTCAAGAACAGTATTTAGGGTCGGAGTCAATTGAGTCTCGGCTGGGATTGGAGTTTGAGCTTTCAAGTGTGTGGACTGGAAGGAGGTGCTATCGGAATGTTGAGGAGTCGATAACGGAGGGGTTTCAAGGGGAGACGGAAGATCGCCCGAGATGGGAGTTGGCAAGGAAGAATTGTATTGATCGGTCGACGGCGTACAATTGCGAGTTCCTGGGTGGTGAGGCCGTTCCGAAGGCACGGACACGGAGGAATCCGGTTCTTGGTTGGCCCCTGGGGATGGGATTTCCTCTATGTGACGGTCGCGAGGAGGACTGACCTCATCCAAATGGGTTGAAGATACGATGCTATAAGCCGGGGATTTGTTGGAGTCGAGAGGGCCCGAGGGGGGTTTTCGGTTGGAGTGGGCACTCGGGTCCGCATCCGCTTTTGGAGATAATCGTCCAAGCAATTTCGCCTTTAGACGTGATATCCGTTCTGACATCGTGGGTCTTCATGCCATTCTGAGAAGAGAGAAGTGGGAGAGAAAACAGATTTGTTGTTCTCTGTTCCCTGTTCTCTATTATTCTCCCGGATAAGAACAATCTGTACTTTTTCGGATACACTAATATCAATAGCTTCAAAACCAAAGAGGTCAAAGGTCAAAGAAAGTTGAGAGGGGGAAACCCTTTGAACTGTGACAACTTTGGGCAGTCACGTTAGTTGCTGATCTCCCGGCTAAAAAAGCTATGGCCTTTTTAAGGCTAATGTTGGACTACCCTGCAAGGATTGGGGATTTACTTGGGTATTTGGAGTAAAGAATACAATATCTAGCCATCTACCTATCTATTCGGGATTATTGGGCATCGAAATTGTGGAGTTCTTTCTATTCTTTCTCTTAGGCGACAAGGCATATATAGAGAGCTAAAATACAGTATACATCAGAGCCTTAAGCTTGTATATGGCAGTTTCATTTGCAAAATCTTCAGCGCTCGTGAGACTTGATTCTGAATCTACATCTAGACAGAGTTAGATCAACATGAAGGGTCCCTGATTCACAAAAAAACCATAAATGGTAGAATATAAATGGTGATGCATCCGACTTGAGCCCGATAACACGAGTCACATATAGCCACTACACAAAAGTCTAAGTGACACGCCCTGGGAATAATCTAGCTTAGCCAGAGGCAGGGCCAATGGTTCTCAGAGTCACAGGGATATTCCTAAGAGCTGCATCTGCCGTTGCACTCCATAGCAAGATATACCATCCATCTAATCCTGTCGGTTGGGCGTAGAAGTTGATGTTGTCCTGGCTGCACATAACATATTTTCCATACAAAGTCCATACGTTGGTTTGTGGTGCCGACACACTGCTCGTGTTCACAGCAACTGTGTTATTGTTTGCCTGGCCGCTCAGGGTGGTAAATATAACTGGACAAGCCATTAAGCCAGTATCGCTCAATCCCAGTAGATTGGTGCTGGAGGTCACACCAGCTGTGGTGAATGCAGACTCAGTAGTGTTCGTAGTGGTTGTTGTATCGGGGTGAGCAACCCAGGTGTTTTGGTTGTCACCAAACGTCACTATAGCTAAATCAGATATCCATCATGAGGACTCGGAGTTCAAGGCCTACAAGAAACCGCGAACTTGGAGTCTGCGTTTGACAGTGCCAGATTACCGATCTGAGCTTGGCCTATTCGGTAAATATGATTAATGGTGATCCATTTAGGGCCGAGAGATGTTTACCGTCTGCATAGAAGATAGACAGCCCGTCGATATTGCTGCCATATGCATATAGGCTCCACGGACCATTGGCCTGTCGTTTCTCCATTGGATGCGCCGAACCAAGTACAAAGATCGCAATGACTACAGTGAAGACAGTCGAAATCATGGTTTGATAGATATGTCCTCATGTATCAAGAGTTAGACTCGTTTGAAATCGTCTCCTATATATCTATGCCCCGAGGGGAGCCCTATCATTTCCCCGAAAGCGCAGTGGGACAAACTCAGAGCGGGCTTGGTAAGCTGAGCTATTATGGCACCAGCGTGACAGAACCTTTGGCTTGGATATTTTAGGTATCCTTGCTCTTGTCATCGTGTGCTGCCTATCCTATATATCCCGAGACCACGCTCCTTGATTAAAAATCCCTTCCAAGGCTGACCTAGTTGAACAGACACTGCCCAGATGAATCGCATGGTCGTACCATACAATCTCACACATTGAGTCAGATCTATACCTATGGCCCGATATTGGCTTTCCATCATCCCTGGCCCCTTCGACTCTGAGTAATCACGAGCGTCATGCCCACGCGGCAAAGCCCCAGATTTCCCCTATGTCACTCAGCCTGACTCTTTCATAGCCAGGATGGATTGCTAGACATACGAGATCAGGGACCTACATCAGAAATCTAAAAAGAAAAAGTTCTGATCACGATAATGCATGACCCACGTGAATATGGTGCTACAGATTGGGGCGGCACACATGGGCTTAGATTAGATGGCTAGACACCATGGAAATCTTTTGGCCTTCACAATGATTGTCAGTGAAACAAATTGTCTCGCCATATTTGATCAATCTATTTGGGACAGGCACAAAGTCTACCTCATGTTGCAACCGGGCTGGAGGGCCTTGGCTCTCTCGTGGCTTGATGCATGCCTGGGTTATTGAGATATTCCCTTTCGAGCAATCTTTTTGGCACAAACACGAAGTCTTGCCCCATGCTGAAACTGAATTGGAGGGCCTTAGCTCCCTCTAGGCTATCATTTCTGCTTTTGTCTGTTGGTGATGACAGTATGCCAGCATTTCCTAGGAATGTACGAGGCAAAGTACGAGCTGGATTATCTTGAGGTCAGAAGAGCGTTCGTAAAAAATCAGCCCGAGTCTAAAAGAAAGGTATATAAACTCCTTCCATGACTAGTTGAATAAGTACCAATCATCGTTCTAGTAAGTAGAGACCAACAGTCTTCTTTTAACAGCTTGATATCGAGTCATCATGAAATTTTCATCCATTATCATCTTAGCCAATTTACTTGGTGCTGGCATTGCCTATACCAATTCCCCCTACAAACAATCGACAACGCTGCGACCAATTGCTACAAGATCTCGAGTTCACAATATTTACGAGCCTACCGGAACTCCATGTGCAGGAAATACCCCCAACGACAGATCTGTCTGGTGCAATTACAGCATCGACACAGACTACGAAGATGTTGTTCCAGACATGGGTGTTACGCGTGAATACTGGTTTGAGGTTAAAGAAGTCACTCTCTCTCCTGACGGATTCATGATTCCACGTCCAGCCATGACCATCAATGGCACCTTGCCAGGCCCGCCTCTTGTTGCAGACTGGGGCGACTGGGTGATTATCCACGTCACCAACCATTTGTATCAGGCAATGAATGGTTCGAGTATCCACTGGCATGGTATCCGTCAGAATTACACAAACCCAAATGATGGCGTTCCCTCGCTGACCCAATGTCCTATTGCCCCCGGCTCGAACATGACCTATAAATGGCGGGCTGGCCAGTATGGATCTTCGTGGTATCACTCTCATATTGGTCTGCAAGCGTGGGAAGGTGTATATGGAGCTATTATTATCAATGGACCGGCAACTGCAAATTATGATGTGGACCAGGGCGCATTGTTCCTGGGTGATTGGACGCATGAAACTGTGGACCAACTGCACCAAGATGTGCAACTACGCGGCCCTGTCAGAAAATTGTCAAATGGACTCATCAATGGGAAGAATGTCTATGGAAACGGTACAAATACTACCGGGTCTCCTTTCCACATGAAAGTGGAAAAAGGCAAATCCTACCGGTTACGACTCGTGAACCCATCTATCGACACGCATTGGAAGTTCACTATTGACAACCACACAATGACCGTTATTGCAATGGATCTTGTTCCTATAAAACCATTTGCTACGAACGTCATTAGTCTTGGAATGGGTTTGTTTCTTAGCCTCCATTGCTCTAAACATACAAATCCAGCTAATGCTCTATACCCAGGTCAACGATATGATGTCATCATCACAACCAACCAGGAGACCGTAGCTGAATCCTTCTGGATGAGAGCTATTCCAGCCGATAGATGCTCACAAAATGAAATGGCCGGCAACATTCGAGGCATCGTCTACTACGGCAACACACCCAAACAACCGCGCACGCAGCCATACCCCTTCACAAACGTATGTGAAGATGAACTTCTAATCAATCTAGTTCCGCACGTCCCCAAAAACGTCGATCCACCAGTTTCACCAGTGTGGGATAAGAACGTAACAGTCAGCAATACCAGGAACGCACAGAATTTCTTCCGCTGGCGGTTCAACTCTACGTCCATGAACGTGAGCTGGGAGAATCCGACCCTAATGCAAGTCTACCATAAAGACCTGGACTTCTCTAATTCAAGCGGCGTGATTGAGTTGCCCTTCAAGGATAAATGGGTATATCTCTTCATCCAGAACACCCTTGTCACTCATCCCATCCACCTTCACGGGCATGATTTCTCTATCCTGGCGCAAGGACAGCCTGGGCCTGGGAAGCCGCAATGGGATGGTTCTATCATTACGCAGAATCCCCCGCGTCGAGATACGGCTGTGCTGGCTGGGAGTGGGTGGCTGCTTATTGCTTTCAAAACGAATAACCCCGGCGCGTGGTTGATGCACTGTCATATTGGATGGCATGTTGACGAGGGTCTAGCGTTACAGTTTGTTGAGCGGCAAGATGAGATTCGGGATCTCGTTGATTATACCCCGTTTAATGAGAATTGTGCTGCGTGGGATAGATATATCAAGTCGCAGAATATTGTTCAAGAAGACTCGGGAGTCTGAGAATGTGGTATTTGTGTGCTAAATGATGCTGTGGATAGGATAAAGAAAGGATTGGTGGATTGGATATATTTAGATTGAGGTGGTGGTAAAGCCTTATTTTTATCTGTTTCCTTTGAGTATTTTTTCAATATATATGTTCGGTATCGATTCCTACCCCGGTATTCTGACTTCACTCTCAATATAATAATCTTAAGGTGGAAGGCTTGAGGTTTCCCGACTGGGTATCTGGCTGCTCTGTCGACGGCTTGGAGGGTCTTCGAAGCCAAATAAGTTTCTTTATCAGACAACTTTGTCCTGTTCGGGGACTTCAGCCTTGCGACTAAGGCACATGATCAGGTATATAAAAGCGCTTCCCCCACTCTCGAACTTTCCTTTCTATTTTCTCCCCATGTTCAACCGCTTGAAAGCTTTATTTTTCATCCTAACATGAAAAGGCTGATTCCACAGATGGCCGAAAGATATCTTCAGCAGCAGCCAAGCTTGGCACATTGTAGACTTTCGGGGCCATTCTCGCTGACGGCACTAGCTTCGGCAAGACGAAGCAGTGTCTCCTCGCAGCACTCATATATGCCTTGAACGGGTCGAGCAAGGAAAACAAGCCGATCTTGGGTAGGATCAATAGATTACTAATTTTTCCTTCTGTTAGCATGTTAGCAGGCACTTTGAGCCTTCAGTTCCGTTATTCATTTTTATTTTCCATTGATACACATATCCAACATGACCTTTGTTCTCTCTTTAGGGAAAAGGAGAGGAGGGGTGGACGGGTTGAAGATTTGTTAGAAAGCATTGCAATGAACTCCAGTTCTGATGATAACCAGCTTTTACGTAGGCTTTGAAACAGGCTGGTTGCTGTGCTCGATCCTCTGCGGGGTGTAGTTGGCTACTTTGATCTACTGCCGAGGTAGGTGATGGTTGGTCTCGCTGGCTAGCTAGGATGATAGCTGAAGGGGAAAAGAGAGGTAGGTCTATCAACCTATATGTATATAGCAAGCAGTATTGATATAGCTATAGGCGGGGAAGGGACGGACAAATCATGCTCCCTTCGATCTAGCAAAGCCAGGGTATTCATACCCTGGAAACCCATCACAAGCCGCTCAGTTTGCTAGGAAACAGTCGGTCCAACAAATATCACCCGGATTGAGAAACAGAGTTAGGTTAGGCATCCATATATGATTCAATCCAGCTTGAAATATCCCCTGCATAATCCGGTTGATGTAAATATGCCATTAGGATCCACACTTCTCTGGATTTCCCTCAATCTTTGCAAATTAGCCTCTCCATAGCCGACAAACGGCTCCTGGTGTTTGCTTGCGTAGTTAATATATAGCCAGGGGTGGTGCTTTCCGACTTTTTGTGCTGCAGAAATCGCTCTTTGGACCCATCTATCTGCGAACGCGTTGATGGCACTGTCATCGGCTTCGTCATTCCATCGTGGGTTAAACAAAACAACTAAAATCATTAGAAACTGAACCCTGTAAATATTGCTCTTGTCCTTTATCCCCTTGTGAATCCACCATGACTATCTTAATGGGTAATGCGATCAACGTACCTGAAAGTGGCCCATCAGCTTCTATTCGAGAGGCACTCCCTCCGTTTTGTTTGTTGGTGCGAAGAGCGGCCTCGTACAGAGGTTGAATTACAAGACTCGGGGCAAAGCCTGGGATGTTCTTGATTGATCTCGATTCTTCAACCAATATATCCTGCATCTCTCGGTCGAGATCTGCAGATGGATAGTAGGTCAACGTCGCATACAGATTTCTGATAATTATTAGCCTTGCTGTTACTCAGGTTCGAAAAAATCGTAAGTAGAGCATACCGGCCACCAGCAGGCGAGATTAGGTCGAGGGAGAAGCTGCTCGGCCAGTCTGTCCGAAGAGTACTTGATTCGAATGGAAGCGCGTTCAACTGTCTGAATGGCACTGGGTCGGATGTCTCCTGTGCGTATTCTTGGTTCATCGTAAGGCTGAACTCGCCTGCCATTGGGTCATAATCAAAGCTGTAGAAGAATGCCAGTGCGGTATCGTTCTTCCATGTAGTTGTCAACTGGTGGGCCTGCTCGAGGATCTCCTCCCTCTGATCCCCCGAGAAAGTTCTACCTCCTCCGTGAACTGGGCCTTGGGGAACAGCCGTCATTGTGAAATGCGTGACAATACCGAAATTATTCATACCTCCCCTAAGGGCAAAGTAAAGATCCGGGTGTGTTTGCTGATTGACGATTGCAACGGTAGCATTCGGCAAGACAAGCTTTCGGAGATCTGTCAGCGAACCCCTTATCCATGAGACTAGGAATCAAAAGTCAAATGCTGCATACCTCATATTCCAAAACGTTATCCATCGCCAATCCGTACGTGGCAGACAGTCTGGAAAACCCTCCTCCAAGAGTAAACCCACCCAGGCCTACATCGGCAACCCTTCCACCAACCGTACTAAGGTTATATCTCTCAAGACCCTCATACAAACTGTACAACACATGGCCACTGCCCAGTTTTGCGCTCGATCGGTCGGAGGAAACCTCGATAGATCTCATCCTCTGCATATCAATAGTGACACCACCAACAGAGATAGAATCATCGGCGTCCCGAGCATGGCCACCTCCTTTGACCGCAAAACGACATGATGTATCCAGGATGACACGAAGAATACTCGACACATCCTCAGTCGTTGTCGGCAGGACTCGACAAGCAGATTGGGATTCTTGTTGCTTCGCATCCCAGACAGTGAGGTTCACATTGCCTGGAAAGAATGCAAATGAGCCGGAATCACCGGCCAAGCGCGAACACTAATTGAAATTCAGAAGGGTAAAAGATACTGGAAGATATTCAACGTACTGCTTCCATACATCCTGACGAAGGGACGGCTTTTCCTTGCCGTATTTCGACCGCCGCAGCGGAGAAGACAGGCAATAGGAAGAAGAAGGCGTTAACAATTGTTTTCATTGCTTTCATTGCTTTATTTGTTGAGATTTTTGATGAAAGAGATCATGTTATGGAGTTTCAATCGTGGCAGCAGCTTCCCTCTATTTATTGACCAGCAATCTTCAGTCAATCACTTGCCCCTTGCCCCTTGCCCACAAATCTGAGCCGTCCTTGACAAAACGCAGGATGCTTACAATGGAGATTCCCACCCGGAGGAGTGATTTTACTAGAGATAAGGTTACATTTCCCCCGAGGATTTCCCTCTAACTCCGAGCCGTCTTCAGCAAGATGCAAGATGCTTACTATGGAGATGCCCACCCGGACGAGTGATTTTACTAGAGACAAGGCTACATTTTCCCTGAGGATTTCCCTCTAACTCCGAGCCGTCTTCTGCAAGATGCAAGATGCTTACTATGGAGCAACCCGGAAAAATAATGTTGCTGGAGGAGAGCTTGCGTATCAGACGTCTTTGTGGAGGCTATGGATGATCTTGGCAAAGTCCGCGACTATTTTGTTGCGTAGGAGAGTTTTTCATGGTAGCTTTCTAGTTAAGTCCAGTATTAGCGCTATCCACTTTGTAAAGATCATAGGTGAATATAGGGTTTTTGTTTACAAAAAGAGTCGGCGCCCCCGTGGGCTTTGCCCTTTACGTCATAAGAGTTTGATAGTTAATCGGATGGATTTACCTAACTAGTTAGCCCGAAACTATGTTGGGAACGTTATATGTCACAAAACTCTATTATCTTTCTAGATGTTTATGAAAGAAAGTATTGAAAAGCATAGCCCCTACGCATCTAGAACCCCTTTTTTGGGGCATCATTGATGCCTTGATATTTCTTGGACCTATCAAGTATGAAAATCACCACTTTTGGGGTAGTGCCAACCAAAAGCTGTATTTTCATAGTTAAGAACAGAAAACTAGTAAATGATATACAAAGCGGTGATGGACTTACGTCGTGTCAAAAGCTTCATTTTCATACTCAAGAGAATCGACTGACCATACCAGGCTGTCTTGCTTATTGATACCTATGTAATGACAGTTAGTTACCTAGTTAAATAACTACTGCAAGTGGTTCACGAGCTTCAGTCTAAATGAAATTAGTTACATACCCAACTTGAAGAATCAGGCCTCTGATCCCCGCCGCTTTGTATAGGCCCTTCTTGAACCAATTAATTTAAATGAGTATTGTGGATTCGAGTAGACCCACACAATATAAGCAGGATGCATATACCAAGGCCCCGATATTGGTTAGCGCCAAGACGAAAGATTTCAAGACCCACAGCTTTAGTATTTAAAAGGGCATTCCATTAGCTCCGTATAGCTTCGAAGTTAGTCAATATCTAGCTGTTCCTAAACCCGCATTGTCTTCACAATGCTCAGTCACTTTTTGATCTTTGTCTTTCTTTCCGTGTTTGCATTTGCCAGAAACACCCCCAACCGTTACAATCAACAAAATCATCGCAATCATCACGATCAGCTTTTGCGCGAAGTTTACCAATTTCCAAATGCTACTTGGGTTGAAAATATTGCCGTTCGACCAAATGGAAACTTGCTCGTCACTCTAGTGAATACACCCGAGGTCTGGGAAATTATACCTTCCGGGCCACTTGAACAATCTCGGGCACGCTTGGTCCACCACTTCAGCAACGCTCAGATGGCGACGGGGATCACCGAGCTCACACCCGATGTTTACGCAGTCATATCTTCCAACCACGTTTGGAAATTGGACCTAAGCAAGAAGGACGGGAAAGCCATTACGAAACTGATCAATTATATTCCAATCGGAAGCTTGAATGGTATGACACTCTTGAACAAAGCAGCAGGAATTGTCGCCATCGCCGACTGTCAACTTGGGCTTGTGTGGCGACTTGACACAACTTCGGGGGAATACTCTGTGATGCTGAAGGACCAGACCATGGAGGCAAATTACGATATTGGGCCATTACTTGGAATCAATGGGGTGAAGGTCCTCGGCGATTACGTTTACTATGTCAATACCCCCCAGCGGCTTTACTGCCGCGTCCGTGTCGACACGTTTACTGGTCAGGCGGTGGGCCCATATGAAATAATCAGCAAAGGAGTTATCGCAGATGATTTTGCGATCAGTGCACACGGTGTAGCATATCTTGCTGGGCTTACAGACAATGTGGTCGCCAGGGCCTTTCTCAATGGGACACAGGAAGTTATTGCCGGGAGCCTGAATTCAACTGCAGTTATGACGGCCACCTCAGCGGCACTGGGACGAAACAAATACGCGAATGTTCTTTATATCACGACTGGTGGGGAGACAACGGACGTGACCAGCTATACCGGAAGAGGAAAGATCATGGCACTTACTCTCGATCTGTGAGACTGATAAACAATTTTTTGATTATTCATATTGAATTCCAGTTGGTCTATTGCGTCATAGGTACGGATAATATAAGATCTTGGAAATAAAGTACTGAAGACAGACTCCCCTCAAGAGAAAATCTTTAAAGGTGCGGGGAACTATATAGCCCATATAACCCTAGGGACCTGTATAATTCATCCAGAATGAGGTCCGGATACAGGGTTAGGGCTATAATATACAGCATTGACTCTTTCCTTGTGCATTTGCCGTTTGTCTTGGGTTGATTGCACGCAACCAACGGGCTTGATAGATCCGGGGTGGGGGCAGGTAGAGAAGTTGACATTATAATTAACACAAGGCTTAGCATAAGGGAAATTTGGATCGAATAATTATATACGTACTTATAGACTAATTCTATATACAAGAATAGTCGGCCGCTTATGCGGCCTTGTGACGTCTTTGTAGTTGCTCTTTTTAGCTGGTCTTTTTTAAAGTCTTTTTAGATAGATTTGATCGAGGTAAAAAAAAGCTTACTTTGTGCAAGAGACTTTTCTATGTATAACCAGTGATAAAGTCAATATATGCAATACCCTATGTTTCCTTTGTTCATCAATTCTCTGGTGCACGCACCACACGTGGCTCCTGCTCCCGTTCTTAACCGTCGCTGGAATATTGTTAGCGCAGTTGGGTCGACATGGCTCAGTGTCATCAATCCGCTCCCCGGCTCGAAATGACATTCTAAATTTACGGAACTCATGCATAGATTTCACGGGGTCTTTGCTGTTCTAGAGCCCTATCGCGATGCTTGTCGGATTCAAGATGACATTTCCAATAGTGTTTCCCAGGGACTACTCGGTAACAGCGGGCCGAACGATGTCGACTAGTCGACGTCACTAAGAGAACCCCAAATTTGATTGGATCTACGTACCAACCTGAACGGCCGATAGATTAAGATTGGTTATAGTCAGGGAAGCAAACTATATCCAACATTGCTTGTCAACGTGTCATACCCCGCTCGATCTTCCTAGAGCTCACGAGTGAAGCAACAGTTGGACCGTACCTTGCACTGAGCTACTGTTGGGGTAATCAGAAGAACTTAAAGGCCCTGCTGCACACGAAAGATAGATATAGCGAGGTCTTTCCTGTAGATGTAATTCAAAGAGCTATGATAGGCCGGTAATATTCGAAATAAACAAAGGTTTGAGAAAATCAATCCATTCAATATAACTAGCTGTCGTCCTCCCAGTCTTTCATTTCGAAGGACGTCATATGCTTTAGAGGACGTGAGAGCTTCAGCCAAAGTTCGTTATCCGGATCATCATCTTCAATATACAAGTAGCCAGTATCCGCGCTATCGTTATAGATTCCGCTAGATTCGTCTTCAATCTTCTGCGCGGTTTCAAATGACAGCCACATGTATCTCTCTACAACCCCCGGGTCAGCCGGCTGACCGCCATAGATACCAGGAGAGCCCCATTCGTCTCTGGGATGCTGTCCCCAAGGAACAACCATGTCAGAAAATTGGATAGAAGAATGGAATCTCTGGGCTCCAAATCAGGCTGTAAACTTGCTTCCACGGTGGTATCGTAAGGACCAAACTCTGAGATTTCCCTGCTTCCAATGGAACGTTCCCTGACAAATTCCTCTAGATATTTGAGGTAGAATGGGTTTCTGCTCTGTTTAGCAGCCTCGAAGAAGGACTCGCGTGGAGGGGGCTTCAACGACCTGAAAAGCGATTTATAGTCACAAAGTATGGCGGTGATCGCAATTTGGTGTCTCATAGACGGACACTTACTGGCCAGCTCACGCAAAGTATTCTCATGAGGCCTTACCGGCCACCAGATAAGCCAAGGGAGGCAGTCAGAGTCATCGTCAAGGTCAGAGATATCATTGTTCATGATCTTACGAGCATTTATCGCAGTGCGAATCTCGCGACACTCGCGCTCATTGCCTTCGCTGAGCAATTTGCCTGGGAGAATGATTCGCCCCGGGTTGGTTTCCAGCTGATAGGCCCACCATCGGGCAAAACTTGTATGATGATAAATCCCACGAAGAATACAATTGTATTCAGTTTCTGTTCTGAGCCTCCGTGGGTGCATCAATCGAGCGTATCTATCCACATTACCCTCCCATGCAGCCATTTGCGTTGGAAGGCGTTTGTCAAGAACTGGAAGATCAGGCGGAAGAGGCATCCACAAATGCTCAGAGTCTCCCGGGCCGAGTTTCGCACCTAGGCCGAGTTTCGCACCTGGGCCGAGTTTCGCACCTGGGCCGAGTTTCGCACCTGGGCCGAGTTTCGTACCTGGGCCGAGTATCGCATCTCGATCTACTTTGCTGGTTTTTTCTTTCAGCCCAATAAATCCATCTTCCTCAATGTCAATATCATCTGCAGTTGTATCTGGCAAGTTCTTCGGAGGAAGAACACACCGGCCCAAAGCCTGTCGGGGCTTTATATTACCATTCAGAAACGCGGGTGTCTGTGGGCTTTCAAGATTAACCGATCGAGTAAAATCATCCATAACAGCCCATCTTTGAGGGGCTGACATAATGATTTTGTAGATATCGGCGTCTTCGGAAGTATTGCGGGCTTCTTCAGCAATAGATACGTCTGGCAGAAGATCCAATTCTTTGTAAAGATCCGTATACCAAGCAGCAGCACATGCGCGGCCGACTTGATAGCGCATCGATGGATATCGACAGGCAAGCTCGCGGTAGGTTTCTTCCAATGCAGGTTCTGGATACCAAATGCAGTATGGCTCAGTGGCAGGATCTTTCATATCAGGGATGACGTTACTCATTATCAGGCGAGCATTGCGGGTGCGAGAAAACTGATGAGCCTGGCTATCGTCGCCGGAGCATAGTTCAATGATTGCCGGGCTTGTTGCAAATTGGATTGAATCACGGATCCCGCGAATGGCTGCTCTACGGTGCCAAAAAGAGGTCAGATCGGACGGGGCTTTTTCTCCCTTTATTGCCGCGATGCATTGATCGAGGTCGTATTCAGCGGGTTGTTTCTTCCCCGTGTGGACCGGTAGGTCCGTGGGGGAAATGACAGAGCTTTCCCCTGCAACCTGGGTACTTGCCATGAAGATAAATAGCGCTGGGGCGTGAGGCTGATAATTGTCGGAAGGGGGATTAGCGCTTATTAGAATCACAACTTTATCACGTAATATATTTAGGCGGCTCACTGAGTCTAAGCCCGGACCAAAATTTACTCCGTAAGCCTAACTCTGAGCGCCCTCGTAAACTCGACGGCAGCTAAGATAGGAAATCCCTACCCAGCAGAGGAAATAAGTTACGTACAGTGACATAGGTACTATCAGAAATGGAACAACCGGCCTTTATCTTCTTGAATACAACAGGCGCGTCTAGTCTCTCTCCGCCGGCTGCAAAGCGAATGAGGGCGCATATCACGAAAACCAACTTCGCCAAACGCCGTCAACATGCCCCGTCAACTGGATCAGAACCAAGAGAACAGAGAAAGGATCAGTCGCGGCCGTTGAAAGAGAGCGAAAAACCTAAAAGCAAGCAGATCACCACATTATTGCCGCCTAAATCCACTAGCCCCGATTCAGCTCGTGATGCAACAGCTTGTAAGCATCGATTATCAAGAGCTATAAAACATTAGCTTATGATCAACAGTTCAGAAGCTTCAAGAACTAGTCTTCCTAGAAGGCAGGCACTCTCCGGGCAGCCCAAGCGAAGCAGCATGGTTTAATCTTATTGCCTCGGACCCAGTCCTAATTGAAGCGTCACTGGCTGTAGCGGTACGACACTGGTCGCCCGATAACGCATGGCAATTGAAAGCATATCGGCATTCATATGCAGCAGTTCATTCCATCAAGCAGCGAATCATGTCGACGGGGGCTCGGACGGACGGTGTTCTCGGGGCGGTTACCACATTGGCATTCGGGGCGACACTAGAACAGGATGATGTGGCGTGGAATGTTCATGTCTTTGGTCTCGCGCATATGCTCAAAGACAGGAAATCTCGCACGATGACTCCGCCGCCATCATGGATAACCGATCTGATTGTCCAGTCGGTCGCATACACCCTTAGTTTTTGGGATGAAACCAACGGTTGATCATTTTCTATAGGGATTCCGTCAACGCCATCTTCAAATTTCCAAGACTATATCACGAGCGCATTCTCGAGGTCTTGATTGATTACAATGATCAGAGAATCCTCGGAATAAAAGGACTCTGTGACAGTGTGATCCAGCTACAGAAAATGATCGAGTCCCATCATCAACACCAATTTGATCCGACTCTAGTGGCACGAGAGATTGAGGAGCCACTGGCCCAGCTGCATTACAAAGTACGCGCTCTCCGAGCTATTGACGATCTATATGTCCAGGCCACTGCGCGAGCGATCGAACTAGTGCTCTATCTCCTCTGGCCATCGCGGTCGGGAGCTTACTTGACCCTTCTTGCGGGGGAATTGAAAGAAGCTATATGTCGATTTCCAATCAAAGGGTGCTCCTATATGAATTTGACTTCCTTTCCGCTGATGATTGGGGCCATTGCTGCCGACAAGGACTCGGTCCCTCGGGCATGGTTTGTTGACCGGCTGGCCCGGGAAGTGCGAGCGATGCAGTTGCGTGGTTGGAATAGACCACTCAGCCTCCTGCAAAACAAGTATAACAATAATAATTCCAGTCTTATGGGGCGATTTCAAGCTCTCTGGCATGAATTACATTACGTCGCTAACGAGCTTGAGGATTAAACGAAGAATCGATTTCAAAGCAGACCATACCTTTGTCCTCGTTTACTTTTGATAAAATCATACAATCATGAGTATTTGGTCTCTACGAGCTTATGCTGCGCTGTCGGCAAATGGACCGAATGCCCCCGCAACCAATCACCCTAAAGCGCCACTCAAATCTGATTTTCCCAATTAGGAAAATCAGATTGCAATTAGGAAAATCAGATCGGAAGTTGTTTGAAATCAAAAATGAGCCTTCTCCTTCTTTCAAAGATACTTAAATGATGTTCTTTATCCTCTCAGAGTTCAATATCCTCTTCTATCACCACTACAATCCCCTCCATTTCCCCAAGACCACCACGACGAGTTGAAACATGGCCAGACAATGGGTTCTAACAGGCCAAGAAGGCTTCGAGACCTCCCTCGAGTACCAGCAAGACGTTAGGATTCCATCAGCTCATGAATTGGGTCCCCACGAAGTTCTTGTTCGCATACATGCAGCGAGTTTAAACTATCGCGAACTAGTCATCGCCGGTCCTATGGTATGTGCTTAGACCGCAAAATACCGTGGTTATACATAACCTAACATTTATTAAGGGTATCAATGGACCGATCACACCACCAGTGATTCCAGGCTGTGACGGTGCCGGCATAGTCGAAGCCGTGGGATCATCCGTCCATGAATTCCGTCTAGGCGATCGAGTCATCACACAAGCCTCGTATAAATGTGCTGAAGCTCGCGGAGACGATGCACTCGCAGGCATCGCCGATGTTGCAGCCTGCCTCGGTCAAGGATCTGACGGCACGCTTCGATCCCATGGTGTTTTCTCCGAAGCTGGTCTTGTCCACGCGCCCAAGTCTCTCGACTTTCTTCCTGCGTCTACCTTGACTTGCACTTGGACTACTGCTTGGAATGCTCTGTTCGGTCTAAAAGGCCGGGAAGCAGGGCCGGGCTCGTGGGTGCTTGTTCAAGGCACCGGCGGGGTTAGCATTGCAGCTCTGCAGCTCGCTGTCGCAGTGGGCGCGACTGTGATTGCGACTACGTCGTCTGAGGAGAAAGCGGCTCGTCTGAAGACGCTGGGTGCGACGCATGTTATCAATTACCTGACCAATCCGAAGAGCTGGGGTGAGGAAGCCCGTCGCTTAACTCCTAGTGAGAGAGGCGTGGATTTTGTAATTGATGTTGGCGGTAATGAGACACTCCCTCAGTCTCTGGCGGCGGTGCGGACGGATGGGATTGTTCTGGTCATTGGTCAAGTTGGAGACTCCAGTGTCGACGCTGTGCCCATGTTCGCCGCTCTGCTGCATACGTGCATTGTTCGTGGTATTCTGGCTGCTAGTCGCAACCAATTCCGGGAGTTGGTTCGCTTCATTGATGAGCACAATATTGTGCCGGCTGTCGATGATGTGGTGTTCGAGTTGGCTGAGACAAAGAGTGCATACAGGCGCCTCAAGGAAAGGAAACACTTTGCTAAGGTTTTGATCAAGATTGATTGATCTAATCTAAATCAAGCTATGTCAATTCGTGCGTTACAGGCTAGAGAAATCAGAAGAAGTCATACATTCAATTTATGTCTTAAAACATGGATAAAGGAAAAAACTAAAAAACATAATGATATCATTTGTGTAGGCTGCTTTATATTAACTATTCAATCTTGTTAATTACCCTTTGGAGAATCACCCCCACTTTAATTCAACACATCCAATCCCATGACTTATAGGCAAATATTCGAGATTAAATAGGGTTGTAGACCCTATTTAATATGTGTCAAGTACTCAAAAACAAGGGGTGTTCTAGAACATGCAAGGCCCCACGGGGTGTCCCAAGTGGATTCGATAAATTACGTAGACGCGTACGTACGTGCACAGGTAACCCTAGAAAGCACAATCTAGTGAATTGCACTGTTCTAAAGTCAAGACATCGCTATCCTAACATATAGATACCATCTCACATGTTTATCTTTCTTCAACGTAGGATAGTCCATCATCGAGATCAACAGACCTCAATTCTAAACTTGATTCCAACATGACAATGGAGAATAGCACCTCATCCGTAAGGAGCATAAGAAACAGACGCGGGACAACCACCCGCTAGAGTAAAAAAACAAGATAAACCCAAAATCACAAAAAGAAAAAACATACCAAGAAGAGAAAGGGCGTGCGACACAAAACAAAAGGAGGCCATCAAGACATCACGTTAAAGGAACCAAAAAAAATACACACACATCGAGGTTGGATCCGAAGGGTATCAAGGGGGAAGGGAAACAGGTTTTGCGACAGAAAAATGGCAAGAAACTCGGACAAAAAAAAAGAACAAATAGACATCATGCATACGGACCAAAGATCACAGAAGGATCAAATAGTTCGAGGGCGCAATGCCAGTATCTCCATTTTGCTTCCGAGCCTGCCACCATCGGCCGCTCACATCGGATACTTCCAAGATCTCGTGCTTGGCGAAGCTGATTTCATTGGCATCTTCCGGGTTGGCGTCGTATGAGTAGATAGCCTTGGCCCGGTAGGGGTAGTCTGTTGGCTGGGGCACTTCGCCCACTTCTTGCTCGCCGTTACCGGGAGTCGTGGGGTTGGGAGTACCAAAGCGAGGCGCGGAGGATGATCGTTCGGCGCCGGGCGCGCCACCGGGGTATCCAGAGACGGGGGAAGAGGTCTCGAAGCCGCCTAGTTGGGCGGAGGTGTACATTTGTGGGGTGTTGTTGGTCGCCATGGTATCTGGACGGGCGCCGAATGCGCTGGACATGGGTCGGCTGCCACGGTACGAGGGCTCGGCGGGCTGTTCCTTGTTCAGGGCGAAGGAGTCGATGAAGCCGCGGTGGGTGGCCTGGGGCGTGGAGCCGAAGTAGAAGATCCAGATAATAATGATCATGGAAAGTAGGATAAAGCCTGCGCCGGCGGCTTGCATGGAGGCTTGCTTTCCGTAGATCAGATTGTTTGCGCTCGTGGATGCTAGGACGAGGCCACATGCAAGGTAACCGACGATCTGGAGATACTGTCAGTACTGAAGCCTTGTAATATTTTCGCATTGAAGAAATCATACTGCGACGCCATAAACGTGGCCCGTGTCAGTGCCAAAGGTCGTAATGAGGCCCACAATGACACAAAACATATATGAGATGGCCCACCAGGAGTAATTGGGATATTCGGTTTGCATATCGGCAATGATAGATGAGATGAAAGCAATGAGCCATGCCAGCTAGAAATTGTACGTTAGTCAATGTCGAGTCACGTAGGAGAAAGTCGAACGCACAACTGAAATCGAGACGGTCATGAGCGCGAACGGATCGCCTAGAATGTTGCTAGGCCTGAATTTGGCCATTTTGCTGGATTTGGTAGGTTGGGCTGTTGAATGGAATTATGAAATGGTCGAAGAAAAAGAGGGAAATGCGTTGAGCGATGTAGTTGTATATAAGAGTTGTTGATTGTTGATTGTTGGGTCCTGAACGAGGCGGACGGGAAGGAGTGACTGTGGTTAGATTAGTATGGGAACGACAGGCGTGCATGAAATGTGCCAATGAAATATAATAGCGACTATAAAGAAAGCGCAATATTGTAGGAAGATGTAGGATTAAAGTACCTTGCTAAAACCGAAGTGGGTTCAGAGACAGTCCGTGGGGGTGAAGAGGTTGGGGATTCAAAAGAAAGTAGGGTCCCCTTACAGAGAGGCAAAAACAGCACCAGGCTGGAAAAAGAAACAAGAGATAGGAATCTGTTAAAAAAAGAAAAAAAGAGTGGATAAGATTGAAAGATGAAAGAGAAGAGAGAGGAGAACAATAATGGAAAAGGAGGAAAAGTGGCAGATACGCAGTGGAGTCCGGCCCCCCCCCCTGGAAATGGACGGTCTCGATTCTTTTGGAAAATAAGGAAATTAAAGAAATTTCAATGTTGAAATTAGTGGAAGTTGATCCGAATATTAGTTATATTAATATACTGGATAATAATCTTAAACTGTTTAAATTACTTTATTTCTTTTCCCATTGAAAAACATAAGAACAATACTCTGTACAAATGTCCTCGATCTGTGAATCTATAAATATCCGGTCCTATCTTAGTCACCTCCGCTTTGTCCACATCTATGTCTCAGGCCATGCGAGTACGACATATAACTATATTCCTGATGCCTCAATCACATCTAAGCGGCACGTGTAGTAGATATATCTATAGATCTTTATACTACCTAATCAGTACCACACCTATAGATGTATACTACCGGTAATACTGACGTTTCTCACCTATAATGACCGCCACAGATATGTTAAGAGAGCTGTATAGACCCTGAGACCCTGTAATTTTTATAACTAAGGAATTATGGGAATGGTAGTGTATAATGGTGTAATTGACATTTGGTAGGGGCACGGGATGGCGAGACTTTTAACCAATTAGGGCTTTAAGTAGGGGTTAACCATATAATGCACTAAAAAATATATAGGCCTCATCTAGAGCCGGGGATGGAAAAAAAAAGAACTAAACCCAACCCGATGAACGGATGGCCTTGACTGTGCCATAGGTCCGCTATTGGTGAAAGGATCATCGCGTTGAGGCTCTATAAGTGTATGCTTATTTTGCCGAATTTGTATATGTATGTTTCTGCGCATACACTCTCGCGTTGGTGACCTGTTCATGTTAGCTAACACACAGCGCCATATAATTAAATTCATGAGCAACTCAAGCCTAATCCCAACAAGTTAGCAGTCCATATGCTGCTTCTACATAGTCAACCACAGTTTGCGGGGGCGAAGAATCTGGGGTAAATTAGCGCATTCCAATTGAGTAAACAATTGAAGGAATTCAAAGAATGAGGAGTACCATATAGATATTTTACCATACGGATGCGATCTGGTGACGGCTGATCTAGGAGCCGGGGGATAGCTTTGCTTCCGCCATCTTAGAACGTATTAAATTCCCAGCTTGAACGAGCCGCATATCATATTTCCTCGGATCTACAGAAGTAAACTTGATAATCAATGGCCTTACATATGTATTTTGTAGGTTGAACCTTCCATGCGTATGTTAAACCTAGGAATATCCCATCTGTGCTATTTAAGATAGAAAAAAAAAAAACCGTACGCCCAAATCAGAGGTATCATAGAGGAAAAAAGCAACAGTAACATCAACAGCCAGAGGCATTACACTTCTCCGGCTCATCTCCAGGATACCACCTGGAACAAGCCCTTTTAACAAGTCTCCCCTCTATATCTCCCCCTCTCTCCCCTGCCTAACAACCTCCGCCCTCCTAACCTCCCTTTCAACATCCTCAATTCTCCCCTCCCACTCAGCCCAGCACTCCCCACTTCCAACAAGCCCAACATCATACCAGCGCTGGAGCACACGCGCCGTACGCACCCGCAGCTCCGAGATCTCAGCCGCCTGTTCGCTCTGCGTCTGCGCAAGCCGGTCTAGCTGTGGCTGTAGGTTGATCAGTGCTGCAGAGCTCTGCGCGTCCGGCACGGGGAGGTCGTTTAGTGATGTAAGGCGTGAGGCGGTTTCAGGGAAGGCGGTAGCGTAGGAGAGAACTATTGAGGCTAGGGTTTGGGTTGTGAGGCCTTCGGGGATTTGGTGGGGTGGTGTTGTTTGGAAGAGATCTGGGTTGCGATCGTCTGATTGGGGTTGTGTTAGTATGAGATTGAATGGGATGGTTTGGGATAGATATATTAAGGGCCCATTATGCGAATATCAGGAACCGGAATTCACATAGGGAGAAGGTAAGAGATGATGGGGTCATGTTGTGATAGTGATGCGGGTGTAAATAACGTTAACACTGGTTACATACGGAGTTGTAGAACGTCCCGTATGGCTGGGACACTTCGACTAAGCCGTTCTAATTCTGATTCTAGCCGTGCAAGTCGGCGGGAGACTGTCTCGTCGAGGGATGCGGGCTTTTCGGGCGTGGTAGGGACGCCAGTCCAGTCTGTGGCGCCGGTGATAAGGTAGGTGAGGCGGCGTAGGCGCGCCTCGAGGAGTTCGATGGTGGCTCCGGCCACTGCGTCGCTTTCAAGAACCATGGTCTGTGGATATTAAAGATCAATCGGGGCAATTGCGAGGGAAGTTGACAGAGAAAGGGTATCAGGAGCTTGGTGAGGTGCAAACATGGCAAAATGTGGGGACAAGCTTATCAGCTACAAAAAATGTACTTGGACCTTGGGAGGTTTCTACATACTAGATCCGCACTTGGGAGTCAAGGGTCCATTGCAAGTTTATCATTTGGTATATGGCCGAAGCTTGACATCGATCTACAGTATCTACATATGTGTCCATCATTAAGTCATTATTCGTAGGCTTCCCCGTATGCTTCGTTCAATGTTAGTTTACATGCTCAAGATGATGTGACATGTCCTCATCATCTGCATTGTTCCACCCTGAAACTGCTTGCGAGGAAGTGGGCGCCGTAGAGTTGGGTGCGGCGACACGATGACCCAAGAGACTTGTTCCACCCTTCTCCTGCATCTCTTGGCTGGGCTTTGGCTCGTCGTCGAACCCGGAGACCTCATAGTCAAAAACATTCACCTGTGTGGCCTTCTCTGACATTTCAGGCTGCTGTTCTTTGTGCTTAGTTTCCGCGTTGTTCGACTCCGCCCAGGAATCTTCCTGGTCACTAAAGATGATGGTAGGGGTATTCTCGAATTCACCCGCAAAAGCATCGTTGTCTCTGTTCACGAAGCCCTGCTTTCAGTTAGTCAAAAACCCTATAACTATATGACAAAGACTGTGCATCTTACCTGAAGCTGAGATGGCGCAGGATGAACTTGTGCATTCACTGCATTCTCGCTCGCATAAACGAGTAAGACTGAACTCCACTCTTCACGGGCGGCTTGGAGTACTTCAATCTCCTGAACTTTCCGAGCAGTGTATCCAACAACTTCGCCGTCCTGGGTGGATGCAGTGCTGCCTTGGGCTTTTAGTTTGTCGGCTTGTCGGGTCTTTCCATCTTCCGCCGAGAAGCTGATGCGCCACCACTGGTAGTCATTGCTGTTTTCAGCGTCCGAGTCCATATCCATCAAGTGTCCTGGGGAAATCGTTTTGGAATTCGATAAAACATAAGTCACATGTGGTTCAGTGCATACACCTCGTAGCGTATACTTGTGGACAGGGGGCTCGGAAGGTGCTTTGGGAGGTTCTGTAAGTGTCTTTGATATCTCACGGAGAGACTCCATGGCACTCTGCTTTCTAAGTTCAAGTTCTGCGCTCGTATTATTAGCCAACAGTATGAGCATGGTAGCAACGGCTGTCTTTACCTTTGAGCTTGGCTTCTATGTTTGTAGCAATTGCTCTCAATTCCTCTGCGACTCGCATCGTCTCCGGACCTACCGCCCCGGAGCTAGACTGGTCAGACTCGCTCACTTGCTCCGGCGCAACTATTGGCACCGCCTGAGCAGCTTGCTCAAGGAGTTCAGTGATTGTCGAGCTGCCCACGGGCTCCCGTGGGATGGTATAGCGATTTATGAGTTGTTCGAGTTTCAACACATCTCCCTGTATCTGCTGTCGTTCTGCACGGAATTCACGAGCGAAATCTCGGCAGCTGCTAAGATACCGATCTGGATAGAACACAGAATGAATATCCACACCCACGGGGTTTGGTTTCTGAAGAGCATCGAGTCTAATGACTAGCACCTCTGCTAAGTGTTCAAGCCATGCATCGTCAAGCTCGCTCCCCGGTCTGTCAGACCATAAAGCCGAATCTAAAACGTCATAGAGCGTTTGGTCATTGTCCTGCTCAACCGGAGGCTCAAAAGTGAAGAGCTCCTTGCTTTCGTGCTCAGAAATGTCGTGCCAAGGTTCTTTCTTGTATGCATGTGACGTGAATATGGTTGCTAGTGGATTTTCAGGATCTGCCTGAATGGCTGCCCCATGCCATGCTTCCAAAAACCTGGTGACGATCTCCTCCGAATCTGCCGATAAGGATGACATGCTATTGATCTTTGCTAAGCTGTCACTGCTGCCAAAAGCACGTTTCGTGGTATCCATAAAGGCCATCAGCCGCTGGGTCTCATGAATGATATCATCCCAGTCGCTATCTCCAGTCTTGCCATCATTCACCGTGACAATCTTGGGAAGGTTAATCGTTTGCCCGTTCCACCACTGCGACTCATGGCCGTAGTCAAACAGCGGTTTGTTCCGCAAGAGCAACGCTTCTCGTGCGAGGGGAATACTATGGAGAATTGTCAAGAGCCCTCCCAGGTAAATGCCGTTAGGGTTCGGGCGGATGAACGCAGGCTCGCCCTCCACTCTTTTGCGGTCTTCTGGATCTGGGCTAATCATGACTTCTTCGGATGATGTGTTGAATAGGGTCATCGCCCAGGCACCTTCTTCGTAGTGATCTCGGGTTGCTTTGTTGAATTGTGGCTGTTTATGCAACGTCACCCCGGTTTCCTGCTGTCCTATTTCCGAGTTCAATGACATAGCAACTGCCTGCTGCAATTCCTTTTCCTCGCGTTCCGCCAAACTGAGACCTTGTCCGGAACCTTCTGTATGGTCAAATAACCGCAAATTAGCATACCTCTTTCAGTTGAAATGAAAAGATTGTGATACCTTTCGGAGCGATCGCGACAGAATCTTGATATCCAGTATTTTGTTCCGGGTCGCGTATATCTGTTCGGGAAGGAGGGCGAGTGGGTGGTGCTGTCGCTGGCATTGGTGGCGCATTGTCCTGTTGGGCAAAATCCCATGCTGGGCGGGGTATGTTAATTTCCAAACCGAATTCGCATAAGAGAGGATAATCTTACAAGAGCCTCTGTTGTCATTCCAGTAGCTAGTTATCGGCTTTGAGATGTCAGATCATAGCCAGGAGTCGTTGCGCAGCGCCAAATTTACCTTTAGCTGAGACCCTGTCGGATCTTCGAAGTACGCGTTGATCGCTTTCTGTGAGTCGAGATTGTTTCCCTGTACACATCAAAATTAGCTCCGAGATTGTTTATCGGCCAGGTGACACTCTCCTACCTTCAAGAAGGCGATGGCTTGCTCGCGTGTTGTGCTTGTGAAGCTGACGAAGCTGGTGATAGCTTCCTCGGTCGGTTCGGAGGCCATGTTGTCTGGTTCTGCGCTAAAATTGAAAATCACTAGATCAATGTACAAGCATGACAATGCAGAAAGCAAAGAGAACAAATTAAATGAAGGCAGAACGTAGATGGGAAAGAGAAAGAGAAAGACAAAGTGTCGCAACGGAGCTTCCCCACCACATGACGCCAAGCGTCATTCCACTATTTACGTCTCTTTGTACTTTTCCTTGAACTTCTCCTTCCACTCCCCTGATTTTTCACTTCTTTGAGCCTGAAATACACTTGCTTTGATATTCTCGAGCATTTCTTTCAGTTCTTGATCTGTTCCTAGTTTAACAAGGCGCATCCTTCACTTTCAAAATAGAGATATATATATATAATATATTTTGAGAACATTGTCTCTCTTTCAAGTGGCCTACTCCCGGTCTTTACACCACAATACTTTTCATAGTTGAAACAAAGCAGCGTATAATAGTACAATAGCACTCGGACTGTGTGAGTCGAAGCGAGCGAGTATAAATACCTTCTCTTCCACGCCAGATAATCACTCATCACAACAACAAAACATTCATCATCCAGCATCCAACATTTCACTCCAACTTTCAACTTTACAAACCTCGATAAATTATTATATTCTATAGCAATCACAATGGCCCCAACACGCAACAAGGCAAGCAAGAAGGCCAAGACGGTAAAAGCCCCCAAGACCATCAACAAGAAGGCCACCAACAAGAAGGCTGCAAACAAGAAGACCGCCAACAAGAAGACCGCCAACAAGAAGACCGCCAATAAGAAAACCGCCAATAAGAAGACCGCCAACAGGAAGACTGCCAGCAAGGCTCCCCTTCCTCCTGTCGATATTAACAAACTTTTCCCACCCTGGGGCTCTGAAGAGGCGCTGAACCAGACGGCAAACAAGGAAGCTACTGATATCATTTTAGCCGTGTACCATGACATTAATGTCTACTGCAACCTTGAGAGACTTGCGAAAGAGAAAGTTTGCGGTTCTCTCGAGACGTTCTACAACCTGCTTTTCTTCACAGAAGGATTCGTGGAGCGGGAAATCGGCTACTACATCTCCTGCGTGGAATCCTTCAAGGCGGAACATGGTGAGTTCCAACCTGTCACACCTAACAGCAGATTCTTAGAGTTTGTTACTGCACTCGGATGGAAGATGTTTGCTATCTGTTCCCATGCCGAAGCATTCCGACGAGGTATCAAAGAAGCCGACGATAGGACCTGGGCGTGCCTGCTCGAGAAGATTCAGGAAAATTTCTTGAGTATTGAACTTTATGCACACAGCCGTACTCTGAAGTGGCGTAACATTCTCTGGGCCCATCAGGGTTATCCCATCCTAGGCCTGCCAGATATGAAGGCCGAAATTGAGGCATACATGGCCTGGAAAGTCGACCACCCCCACCACACCGTCATCACGCTCGACGGCAAATTGAAGGAGCCCACATACAAGGGCAAGTTACAGCAGCACATTAACGAGAGTATCTATGATCCCAAGAAGTGGCGTGGTCGAAAACAAGACCCGACGCTTCGCCATATGCCCAACGGTAGTTCGACCAACGTTGGACGCGAATGCGCTCTATGTGGTAGTCCCATTTCTTGTGATTGCCGCTTGACATCTCGCGCAGGAGAACTAGTTGAGCTGAGAGAATACCCCAATACCGGTACTGGTGTTCGAGCGTTGACGAGATTCATGCGCGGTGATATTCTCGATATATTTATGGGCGAGCTTCTTCCCAATTCCGTAGAGGAGGTCTATCCTCTGACACAAAGCGAGGATAAAATCGATGCAAAGCCCGGTATAGCCCGCAATTTGTGCACAATTTGCCCCCATCAGCTTGGCAACTGGACCCGTTATATCAGCCACTCGTGCCGGCCTTCGACGCAGTTCACGACTCGGACCATTGGAGACCGAGTTGTGTGCACGGTTGAGGCCGTTCGTGATATTCTGCCATTTGAAGAGATCACTGTTGGCTATGGTGATAGGTACTGGAGCTCTACAGACTATGATTGTCTATGCGGGCACTGTGATGGTTCTGGGACCGAGTAGGAATAGGCTAATCCTCTGATAGGTTATACATTTTGCTTTTTGGAGTTGAGAACTGATCTTGATAGCAAAGCATTGAATAGACCTTTGATTCAATTTATTTTAGCGCATTAATGTAGGAAATACGTAGTGTCCACTAGTACAAAGGTGATAGGGTGAATGATGTAGTTGCTCGGGATCCCCGCAGTTTTGGGCGTGCGGGGAAAGCTATGCTTCCCGCGGACCTGCTCCGCCCTTGCCATCTTTAATTCCTGTTCCAAACTCTTTTGTTTTGAAATCTTTAGCTGCTACCTATTGCAGTGCCCTATTCGGTCGATACAGTCAATCGCAGCCCTCAGGTGGAGTCATGAGACATTGGTCAAACAAGCATTGAAATAAGAACATGAGCTACAGCGGGATTTTCACGGGGCTTGGCCTAAGAGGCCGTACATCCTGTCGGAAGTCTGTGTTTGGACGAAAGAGAGTCCTTCAGCAAGCATTCTTGGTCAAGAGAGGACTACTGACAGAGAGCTATGCGCGGGGGCCATCAGGTGTAAGTATTCTCTTAAGAACCACTCGGACCTAAAACGATTGATTTGAAGCAATATTTATCTGACTATATTGCTTTCGATATAGCCTCCCTTGATTGAGTCCACAGTTGGGGACCATTTCGCCAAGGTTGTTGCGGAATGCGGAGACAGAACAGCGTGAGAATAGCGACGTAAGATCGGTCAATTGAGACTCGAGATACTAATTATTCTATATAGTGTTATCTCGAGACATCAGAATGATCGAGCAACCTATGCCTCCCTAGACGCAAGAAGTAATGCTCTCGCCCGGGGGCTAGAATCGGTGGGCGTTGGGAAGGGGGAGCGGGTTGGAGTCATGCTTGGGAACTCGATGGAATATGCTGTGGTACGCTGGGTGTCTGTGGAAATATTGATGAGGAAAAGAATGAGGCTAATACTCGTGACCAGGCGACGTACGCGTTATTCAAACTTGGTGCCATTTTGGTAAGTCAGCCCGCTCATTATGGTAGGCGACATCGTGTCTAATAATCTGATAGGTTCCGCTGAATCCGTCTTTCAATACTGCACAAGTGATTGCGGCCCTGGGTCACCTGCAATCAAGTCACCTTTTAATCAGCACAGAGTCCAATCTGCCCCGAAAAAAACCACGCAGCAATGTTCCCTTACTCGATGACCTTGTTGAGGACCTTCACAAGTCAAACTTGGAGTCCGCATTAGTCCCTTCTCTGAAGAATATCTTTATGATCGACAACTCTGAAGGCCGCGTGGATATATCTTCCTATAAAAGCTTGACCCCGTATGCATCAATTATGTCCCAACTTAATGCAGACCGCCGTCCGCTTCCTCCTCGAAATCTCTCGCCGGACGAAACTGTGAATATCCAGTTCACGTCGGGAACCACATCAATGCCCAAGGCAGCATGCCTCACCCATCGCTCTATCTTGAATAACGGATCTCAGATCGGTGATCGCATGCTTCTCACGCCGAATGATATTGTCTGTTGCCCACCGCCGCTGTTTCATTGCTTCGGCGGGATATTAGGCTATATGGCGACAGCAACCCACGGCTCAGCCATCGTCTTCCCCAGTGAATCTTTCAATGCCCGTGCTGCATTAGAGGCTGTCCAAGAAGAGAAATGTACTGCGCTGCACGGTGTACCGACAATGTTCCTCGAGGAGCTGAGCATGATCGAGATGGGAGAAATCTCAAACGAGGGATTCCAGCATCTTCGCACGGGCATCGCTGCTGGAAGCAGTATTCCTTCCGAGATAATGAAAAAGCTGCACAAGGTACTGAATCTGACCGAATTGACAATCTGTTATGGAATGACGGAAACAAGCCCCGTCTCGGCCATGACAACGACAGACGATCCCATTGATAAGCGGATCTACTCTGTCGGAAAGCTCATGCCACATGTCGAGGCAAAGATCGTGGACCCCGTGGACAAGAAAAATATCCTACCTATAGAGAGACGGGGTGAGTTGGCAGTGAGTGGGTACCTGCTGATGAAAGAATACTGGGCCGATCCAGAAAAGACTGCGGAGGTGATGATTCCAGATGACTCTGGCAAGGTATGGATGCATGTGAGTCGGATATTCTATTCTTTGCCTCAAGTAAAGTTGTTTTTCTCTGACGCCGTGGTTTCAGACTGGAGATGAAGCTTCTATGTCACCAGATGGATATATCACTATCACTGGGCGGATCAAAGATCTGATCATCCGCGGTGGCGAAAATATACACCCCCTAGAGATCGAAAATTGCCTGTTAGCCAATGATGGCGTTGCAGATGTGTCTGTCGTCGGTATCCCGGACGTGAGATATGGCGAGGCAGTGGCTGCTTTCGTTGTTCCTCGGGACCATGACTCAAAAACACTTACTGCTGAGGATATTCAGCAATGGGTGCGTGAAAAGCTTAGCAACCATCTTAGTAAGTCATACCCCAGACCTCATAGAACTGCTACATTGTTTTCCATCATTTTCAGCTGGTCTTCGATCATCCTAACAATTGTCCTACGGACTGAGCTGATGTTTTACTTGCTTATAGTTCCGAAGCATGTCTTCTTTTTGGGCCCCTTGGAGCCTTTCCCCAAGACAGCAAGTGGAAAAATCCAGAAGTTCAAGCTCAGGGAGAAGGCCATTGCACTTTTGGCCAAAAGCGCTGCATGAATAGCGAGTATCTAAGGCTGAGGCTTGACCTTGCATAGATTCTAAGTGGACAACTGCCTGGTATCTCTGTGCATACTGATTTGTTCAAGTCTCATTGCTCATTAGATAGAATTATCATATAGTCATGGGAAGCTAAATTACGAGCTTGAGTAGATACATCCATACCATTTGTCTTGAGCATTGCCACAAATGAATCAAAGTTTATGCATAAAAGACTAGCCAAAAAAACGTCACGAGGCTACATAAGCGGCTGACTATTCTTGTTTAATATCATACAAGGAAGCCCGGTGACTAACCGAGTAGTGTATTCATCTGAAGTGAACCTTTGATTGTCAGAAATGAACAACAGACAAGGCTCATTAGCAAGAGCCGTAGCTGAATGGCACGAATTCAGGGATGTCGTAACAACAGAGGGTTGTAACGACGGTGTCAGTCTGAGCGCCTGGTGTCTCTCAGGATAGCAGCTCGTAGCAACCAGCGGCCGTTGCAAACACTTGGGGTCATGCCGACTGCCACATCTCAACGGCAACACGAAGCTGTGGATGGGGTAGGAGGGTAGGAGACTTGAAAGCAGTGTCAAGCCCCTCTTTTGGCCGCTCGAGGGCGGGATATTTCAGACATAGCCGAGTAATGTCAGATAGACTACCACGAGCGATATCATACCATCACATATAGCCAGCGAGCGAACTTCGCTGTAGCTAGCCCAAAATCTCAGGAACATGTGCAACAAGTTTTTCTAAATCTAGAAATCCTGAATTCCTGTTTCACCCTGGAGATTTGGGCGAGCATCGTCCCCGCGTGTGCCGTCAACCACCCATTCAGGCTCCTCATCCTCGAAATACTGGTCTTGCTCATCCGTGTGATCATCGTAATCGTCATTTTGATCAACGGTCTTGTAATCGAAATCAGAGTCATTGCCCTGCATGAAACGCAATCCCATCTCCCACCGCCAGAGTCGCTCGCCTTCTTCCTTATTCGGGGGTATTTCATCACGGTCCTCGGCGAGGATTTCCCCATCTGGACCGCGAGTGTAGCTCATCATGGCGTTAGGGTCCGGGTGTGAGATCGCATCCATCTTAGCTTCAGACCGCATGAGGTCAGTTTCTAGGACACCTGAGAACCCCTTCGCTCGCCCCTCGGCCTCTCTTTCTTGCGTTGTCTGGAATCGGCGGATGAGGCGATCGTATAGTAACGGGTCTGTGGGGAATTCGAGCAGGATTAGCATTGTGTTCTTTTTTTTTTTTTGCTTCTGTATGCAAAGCCAGCTGGCACCAGCAATAAATCAGGCCAGATAATGTGTAAAATAATCAACTGGCAATGGGAGAGAAGAGAGCAGGCGGACCGGCTAGCTCAAGCCCCGCCGAGAAGTATTCTGGATGCAAGTCCAGATACCGCTTGCGACGGTTTTTGACTGTGACAGCTGTTTGTGCGCTGGACGCATCTTTGGACGTAAATCCAGAATCCTTGGGGAAATGTGGCATCTTTGGTGTGTTTCAAAGTGTGGAGGTGGAGAGAAGAAGGAAGTTGGGAACGCGGAGCTCGGCGGCAAAAGTGCCTTCATCTCCGCAATAACTTTTCTTCTCGTTGAAGATTATCTTGATATGTGTCTGTTTTGAACGTGTAAGTCAAGGATCTGATTCATAGTAACTTTTCATTATTCATTGGGTGTCTATTGCAATAAGGAGGGGGAAAGCAGACAAGGACACAGTTTCAGATTGCTAACAAGCTTGCAGATGCGCTATCTTGGTTAATTCCCCTTATATCCAGAACTGCATCAGCTGGAAATCATGTCTTTCCAGGACATGTTGCAGCACATTGATGCCCGCCGGTTCACTACCGGTGTGGTTTTGCTGATCCTGCTTGCCTTCTACTCGCCCCTTTCAAAGCTTGTCTTGTCTCCAACATATGGATCATTCCCCGCGCATATCTTCCATAGTTTTGGAGTGGCCATCTCCGGCGGAGTCGGATGGCTACTGAAAGATAAGATCCTCAAGCGCCTGGGTCGTCTCGGTGGTTTCATGCTCCCTGTGTTGGCATTCTGGGTTCCGACTCTCCAGTACTTCATCAAGCAGCAAAGCTCTAAGATTGGCAACCCCACAGGCCCAGTGATCACGGAGCTTTGTGGTTACTATCCTTTGGTGCTGTTGACTGTCGCCTATGCCGGAAAGCAAATACAGACTGCTTTGAGACTCGAGGCGCAGGGCGACGTGATCGCTGAGCATGTGCCCTTGATAGGTACATATATTTTCTATTCGGCTGGCGATCACATTGCCCAATATATTCTTTCATGGATTGTTGGTACTTCGGTCTTTTTCACCAGAGTCGGCATGCAAATGCTCCTCGCTGCCGCTTACGCTGCGCTCATCCCGTCAAAATGGCTAGTCCTGGCCATTCCCTCTATAATTTTCTCGGTGACCTCAAACGTCCATTTCGCTGGAATTAGTGGTGTCAATTCTGCAATTGAGCACGAAGGGTACGCTCTCTTGGCACGACAGGAAGCCTACACAGGATACATCTCTGTTTTGGAAAACCTGAATGACGGATTCCGCGTTATGCGTTGCGATCACAGTCTGCTCGGTGGACAGTGGACCAGGCTGGCACCAGGCTACCGGCCTGAGGTGGAAGATCCTATCTATGCAATCTTCGCCATGCTCGAGGCTGTCCGTCTAGTTGAGCCGGATCATGGTATTCCCCGCGTTGACGCCGACAGCAAGGCGCTGGTCATGTAAGAATCATGGAAAAGCATCAATCATCCAATTTACTGACAAGAAACAGTGGTCTTGGAATCGGCACCACACCCTCTGCGCTCATCAAACATGGTATTGAAACTACCATTGTCGAAATTGACCCTGTTGTGCACAAGTTCGCCACTCAGTATTTCAACCTTCCGCCCAACCACATTCCCGTCATTGAAGACGCCGTAAAATTCGTCAAGAAGGCAGAGTCTTCCCCCAATACACCCCAGTATGACTACATTGTCCACGATGTATTCACCGGAGGCGCTGAGCCCGCCGAACTCTTCACATACGAGTTCCTGTCAGGCCTCTACTCGCTCCTCAAGGAAGACGGTGCCATTGCCATTGTGAGTCATACCAAACAACAAGCCCTCCATTTAACCACACAACTAACGAATAAACCCCAGAACTACGCCGGTGACTTGACCCTTTATCCAACCGGTCTCGTCGTACGCACCATCAAGGCCGTCTTCCCATCTTGCCGCATCTTCCGCGAAGAACCCGCCGGAGAGGACGAAGATACTGACTTCACCAACATGGTTCTGTTCTGCAAGAAGAGCTCCGACGCACCGATTCAATTCCGTGACCCTGTCCCGGCGGACTTCCTGCGCAGCAAGTCTCGTGAAAGCTATCTTGTTCCCAAGCACGAACTGGACCCTGCCATCTTTGCCTCTTGGCCCAAGGCTGGCAGATCGCTTCTGTGGGCGAAGGAGGTCGGAAGATTGTACAAGTACCAGGATCGCAGTGCGCTCAAGCACTGGTCTATTATGCGCAAGGTTCTGCCTGATGCCGTGTGGGAGAACTGGTGAATGTTGAAAGGGAGCTGAGTGATATTCGATCTTCGAATATCACTCTTGCTCTGGCTCTTATCTTGTCTTTATATGTCAGGTCTGTATGGTACCAAATAATAGTAAAATAGACTACAAAAAAAAATCTTTTAGTTTACTAAGAAGCATTTTGATGCTGTGCTTTACATTTATAACTTCAGCAGGAAGCATGTACTACCGAGAAGATATTTAGAATAATTCAAATCACAGACATCATATTGGTATCATTATCTAACACCTGCCAAAAAGCCATGGGACCTCCCTCCACTGATAGAGTAATAACAGAGTGACTGTCTCCCCTCCACAGTCAAAGGTCTCCCAAGAGCTCTTTCATCTCCATATATCAAATCACCCAGCCCATCGCCAGGAGCGAGAGTTCCGGCCTCTGTATTATGTACGCACAAAGAACTAAAATACAGTGAGAAAAGAATGAATCAAGCCGAGGGGCTGCCACGGGGACTGGAAGCAGGTTTCTTGACGAGGCCAGCGAAGAAGTTCGCTAGGGCTTGATTGTGGGCTTTCTCATCATTGCCGCCGGTGCCTGCATATGGGCTTTCTTTCTTTAGGGTTCGACTAGCCTCGCGGTCCTGGGGGTAATGTTTAGCTATGTCCTGGGTTGGGGAGGGCGATGACGCCGCGCCGGTCGGGTGCTTACCCGAAGTTTCTTCAACATATCATCGGCATCCACTTGGATTCCGCCCATGTTGAACTGTACAGGGCCGATGTGATCGTTGACCTTGCCTTCGTCGGCCATGGGAGACATCTCCAGTTGGGGGGTTGGCTGATTTGAATTCTCCTTCTCATCCTTGGCTTTGAGTTCTTCCAGTTTCTCCACTTGGGCTGCAAAGAAGTCTTGGAGGTCGGTGGTCTCGATTTCGATCTTGGTCGTGTTGCCGTGGAGGTTGGCTATGCCTCGTTTAGGATCGTTGATCGTCCGTTCGAACATGGTCACCGCACTTGTGCCTTCTTCTGCTAGGCCATTCTCGCTCTGCTGGTTGTCGTCGGTTGATTGATAGATTGACTCAGGAGGGTCTTGGATCTCAATTGACCACGCTGTCGATACTCCCTCCATGTCAAATCCTTCCCGAATAATTCGAATCTTACCCCACGAGTCCCAGTTGGCTGGCACCAGGATCTTGTCTCGGTCGATCACATTATGTTTTAATGATTCTCTTTTCAAAAGAGAGTGTATGCCCAGAGAAGAATGAATCAGGCCCTGAAGAGAGTTTGCAAGGAATGGGGTAGTATAGATGAGCGATGCGCCGTCTGTCTGGTGTCAGAAAAGAGCCTAAAATGGCCGAATTCAGGGTAACAAAGTCCTTACGCTTCAGTAGAATTGTTCTGAGGAACTGGAGAACGAAATCGAACTGCTCTTCATGCCATCCGTGATCTTTCTCCAATTTCTCGATCTTATCCGCCTGATCGAGGAGTCAAGTCAGCAACATTTTACCAGCAATTGATTTCCAGACAATGGTTTACGTACCCCTTGACAGACAACACACATTGGAATTCCGAGGCCCTCATCCCATTCACCGGGTCCTAGAGGTATTGTGACCGGGCCGCTTGAGTTTGACATGCCGCCCGCAGCCGCAGAGCTGGGATCAATTCCTCTTTTGCGATCGCGCCACTCAGTCATGGTCTCTTCCATAACGAATTTGGTTTCATCATCAAGCGAAACGAGCACAGAACGTAGCAGGCGGGTCCATTCTCTTAGCCTCCGAACCCACGTCCAAGGGTCTGACCAGTCCATCAGGATGACAACCAGTGTTTCCGGGACGGACTTGGGGGTCAGAAGTGGTTTGAGGAGTGGTGCGAATGACGGAGAAGGCTCGGACAGAAGGTAGGCAGAGACACGGGCCAGAGTATCTGTGCGAGAAGAGCATTAGCATAGCCAAAGCTAGTAAAAGGTGTGTTTTCCCATATACCTTCTTTATCGGCATCGAGGACATCTCGATATGTGTATCCAAGCGCAAACTGATTGGCGATTGGTGGTGTTTTCCCTTTAACTTTCCGTTTGTCGTTTGCTAAGCTGAGGTCTGCAGACGTGTCCGCGGAAAAAGTATCTAGAAATTCCCTTTGGCTGTCCGGCGTGCCACCTATCATCGAGCTATCAGCAACATGTCCAAGAATTGAAAGACGGGGCCAGCAATGAGGATGAGCAGGACTGGAATGCTCAGAGAAGAGTGATACTAACCTAGCACTAGCAAGTTCTTCTCAGGCAAGCGCTTGCCGTTGGCAACAGTATCTAATAGAGAGGACCAAATGTTCTTCTTCGAGCCATCTTTGCTAGTTGGCCGACTGCTCGTTCCGGCCGCCTTCGACCCAGGATTCGGACTGGAGGACATCGTGTCTAGTCCCACCATGCCTCAAAGGGCATTCACCCTTCCAAATGTCTGTCTCTACCGTAGCACAGCGGAAATATTGTGCGCGTGGAAATGTGGAGGCGGAGGGGGAGAAAGGCGAAGCAGCGTCGCGGGTCAGGGGGATCCCGAGGGAGATGGATAAATGTAGGCCCCGGTGAAACAACCCTACTTGCGAAAGGATTTCAGATTGCAAGTCACAAAAAAAAGAGGAAGGTCTTTTTCTGGCACGTTGAGCAGGGGGCTAGTTTGCGTTATAAAGGTGCGTCTCCGTAAACAAGTGATTATTACGGTTCCGCAGGTCTCCACATTTCTTTCTCTCCAACTTCTGCCACTTGAACCATTCTCTCTCACACACATTTCTGCCCCATGAATTCTATTCGCCAGGTCCAGGCGCTCAATAAGCGCGAGCTTGAGCATGCGATGTGAGTTGAACCCTTATAAAGCTCCCGCAAAGCTTTTTTTCCCCACTGACAGTCTTACCTTCCACCTATAGACCCCCAGAGGCATCATGGCATGCAGATTACCGCGACACAGCCTATATCTACATCGGAGGGCTTCCATTTGATCTATCCGAAGGTGACGTTATCGCAATTTTCTCGCAGTATGGAGAACCGGTACATGTCAATCTAGTCCGCGACAAGGAAACAGGCAAGAGCAAGGGATTTGCCTTTTTGAAATATGAGGACCAGCGCAGTACAGATCTTGCCGTCGATAACCTCGGTGGTGCAACTGTCATGGGCCGTTTGCTTCGGGTGGATCATGCGCGCTACAAGCGGAAGGATGATGAGGAAGAGCAGGACAATGTCGCCAAGTTGATGGGAGATCCGGCTATCAGCGAGAGCAAGAAGGCCAAGGAGGACGATCGGAGAGAAATAGAAGAGAGGCGACCGATGCTGAAAGAGGAGAAGGAGCTAGAAGAATTGATTCGCAACCACGACGGGGAAGACCCAATGAAGGAATTCCTCATTGAGGAGAAGAAAGAAGAGGTCGCTACTGCGATCCAGTTGTGGAACAGCACCAAGAAGTCATCTCGGCGACGCGACGACAGCAGAGAACGATCAAGCCGGCACCACCGTCGACACCGCTCTCGTTCTCCTCGCGAGCGAAGACATCGAGATGATCGTTCTCCAGATAGGGAGAGGCGATCTCGTTATAGGTCATCCGAAAGAGGAGAAAAATCCAGAAGGGACCGATCACCGAGGAAATCGCACTCCCCCGAGTCCCGGAGACACCGCAGTGATCGGGATAGACATGATCGCCGCCGTTGAAAGGTACATGAGATATCATCATAAGTCTCCCAAGGTTATCTACGACGCTACAAATCTTTCTCTCCGAGATTCTCTCCTTGCAACTTGGGTCATCCTGACCAAATAAGAGTGTTCCCAGTCCAGAAAGCAATGCAATGATTCAAGCTTGATGCTGGTAATAAGCTGGGTGCTGCGGACAAGGTGTTCGTTATTTGGTGTGCGATATACTACCACCCTTGTTGTGACAGAGTGGAATTGTTCTTGATGTCAACCAAGGTATCTTTTCCAGCCATCCCGCAAGCAATATCTCTTTCCGTCCTCGTCCTCTCGAAGCACAAATTTCTCCCAGCGCCCTTCTTTCCCAGATCCAACTACCAACAAAGTCTGGTCATTGCACCAGCCTATGAGGCCTTTTTGAGGTCGACCAAATGATGATCCGATCGGTGGGACATGCGGAGAGCTCAGGTTGGCTTGTTCACCGATCTCAAAATGTGCGCTGGCAAATGAATAAACGTCCGAGAAAACACGAGGAAGCAGGGGAATTTTGCCAAGGATTCCCCATTTCTGGCTGGGAGCTGCTTCCTCAGATGCTGGTGATGGCGACTGACTGCGACGAGTGATGGGTTGCTGGTGGGGGATATCAAAGATGTGGAGAGTGGATTTGTCAGATGTTACTGCCAGCAAAGTATTGGACGGCGAAAAGGAAATTGAGAATACCACTGCGTGGTCAACACCGCGTCGCAATTCTGCCAGCTTCGTGCAATTCCCTGTAGCGAATATACGAACCAAAGTTCCCTGTACAGATGTCAATAAACCACCCATAGATGATCACAGCCAAGAGAACTTACAGACTCGCTTGCAGTCGCCAGCAAATGCCCATCAGGACTCAGGGCCATAGCACGCAATGGTGTGCTATGTGCGGGTATGATGCTGATGTTGCCGGTCTCCAGCTCTATCATTTGGACCTGACCCGGAGACCGACCTGGGAAGGCCAGCACCTTGTTATCGAGACAGGCCAGCCCCAAAGGGTTGTCGGAGGTCTCAAAGACAGATAATTTCTGAGGAGGGTTGGAGAATGCAAATACATGGACGCTGTTTAATAAAACAGCGACGATTTTTGATTTGGAAAGACGGACACCGAGGACGGAGGTGCGGAATTCAAGTGTGATGGCCGCTTTCTGTTTAGCATCGTCCCATATAACCAACTAAGAATGTCTGTGAGCTTGAATGCTCATAAATTGTACTGGGGATAATTGCTTACCTTGTTCTGTGGAAATTTGGGGTTTTTTCCACCCCCGACAATAGCCAAGTAGTTCGACTGGCCAAGCATTTCCGCCACCCCAATACCTGCGTTGAAATCTTAAATGCAAGG